GCTTGTCACTAGCATTATATTTACCTCAACAGGCAAGTGATTCAGTGTCCACAACTTTGGTTCCTATAAATGAACTCTTGCACTAAATAAATGCACCATGTTAGCCTATATATTATATTTTACTTAACCTGTTAATGATATCTTGATTATTTAATGTATGTTTAAAATATCTTTCATGAAAATGACAACTGTGTAAAGTATTATATTTCAATAACAAATTAGAGTAAAAACACAAGTTAATGCAAAAACTGCCTTATGTTCAGTTTACATGTTTTCATACAATGTGTTGTGTGTTGATTATTATATCTAAAAAATAAATAGCATCTGAATTTAGGTTAAAACTCTAGGCTACAACCTTTAATGTTATAGTAATTAGCAGATTTTTTTTTTATCCTTGTGAAACGTTTAATTGTAATTGAATTAATGTAAAGACAAAGATAATTTTTTCGTTAAACCACTGTTTAAAAAAAAAAAAAAAAAAAAAAAAATCAATTTTAGCTTTCTAAACCGAACCGAGACGTCAAAACCGTGGGAAAACCGAACCGTCAATTTTGTGTATCGTTACACCCCTAGTAAACAATGTATAATATGTAAATATTTCACAGGTTGAATGCTTTTGTGGACAAAAAGTGCTGTTGGATGTTTTCCATTGGACTCTAGTCATGGACAGTTAACCCAGTAGCGATTTCATATCACAGGTATGAAATCCCGTTTTGATTTTGAATGTTGTCATTTGTACTCCCAACACAAATAACTATTACTGTTGCAGGAGCATCTATATCATAAAACAGACACTGTATATTGACACTAAACCCTTAGACCTTCCAAATGATGTATAATTTGTTAATATTATTAACATTTTTAGTCTATCTAGTAAATGTAAAGAAAAGTAAACAAAGTGACGTCAAGCCTGAGGTGGGGCTAGTGTACTTCAACAGGTTAACGAATAATGTGAAAACTTACCCATTTATTAATGAAGGAGATGAAACCATATCCTTTAGATTTGCCTGTGGCCAGGTCCTTCACCACGCGGGCATCACTGCACCAAAAAAGAAGAAGCCAAATGTTAAGACAACCCAGCTCTAATGAGTTTTAAATAACACCTGATTTACACAATACTATATTCTCCTTACGATATCTTTCCAAATGGAGCAAAGGCTGCTCTGACATCATCTGTTGAGATTTCTGGGCTCAGGTCACCGACAAAGACATGGAAATGATCTACAATAATGGTTCGAGGGGAAACAGTTAGACAAAGATAAATAATTCATGCTTTACAGTTTGACCACACATGCATCCACTAATAATATTCAAAAGTCAAATTAAACCCCATCTCATAAGGAGGACACTTACTGCTTGTGTCTTTCTTCTGGCTGCTTGGCATTGAGGCCCAGTTAACTTTCATATCCTATGAAAGAAAGCAGAATAGAGACCGGGAAGAGTGAGACAAACATCAGCATAACATCACCTTCATCTTACTTAGCCGCATAATATAGTGAGCCTCCAAATGCAGAAGAAACAATCTGACAAAAAATAAAAACCCTGGTGATGATCACTCAAGCTCAAAGAAAAATGAACAATTAAAAAAGCTTGAATTATTTACTACATAGTAAAAGAGTCTAAATAGCAAGAGACTTACAACAGAGTGATATTATCAACTTGAATTACTCTTCAAAATGTCATTCATTACCTGATCAAATATTTGCACTGAATATACTTTTGCCAATAATTTGCTAAATTTGAAGGCCTGGTACAGGTGTAGTAGATGATTATAAAGCAAGGCTAGGTGTTAACAGACATGCAGGGGGGAATGAAAATAAAAATGGGTCAACCTGCACCCAAAGGATGACTCAAAGAATCAAAGAGGATGTGCCACGTTCTCACGTGCTTTGTGAAGTTTGGAACATGACAGAGTAATGAGCCACTCCATTGGAAAAATTAAGGATTTTGATTTGTTGCAAGGACTTTCTGGGAAAATATTTTTGCTTATAAATACAGCCATAATATTATCAGCTACATTTAAATACATATTACTATGTTAAAGCCATAAGGTTAATTTTATGAGCACGTACAATGAACACATGACTAGATTTTGACTTGCTCACTGTGCATTGTTGTATGTGCAGCTACTTACATTTATTCAAATCTTTGTTATTTGGTCTGGTCCAAAAATGGCAGTAAATCCTTGATCATTTTGATTTGTATACTTTAGATAGTTGATGATATGAAGGATTTGATGCACAAGTTATAAGCGATTTATCTAAAAAAAACACTATAAATGTGCTAACTAAACTTATTCTGTGTGTCATCTTAGTAAACAGCATTAGTATTACCATAGCTTTGACACCACATTTAAGAGGTGAAGCTTCATTTCAAACCACATCAAGCTTACTTTTGTGGGTGTATGAGAGATATATTCTTACCTTTCCTAAGATCTTCCTGCCGTTCATGGCAGCCAGAGCTGCTGCAGCGTGTCTGTTCTCATAGAACTCCACAAAGCAGTATGGGTCATTGCCGGCCGTCTAAAAAGAAAGACCAATTGAACCAAGTCAAACACCGATTTTGGGGAGTTACAGGTTTTCAATGTTACCAGTCTTTTTGATCAGTGAATTTCCATGACCTATCAAGTTATCACAATTTTTTTGAAAATCATTCTAATGCAGATCAATCCACTGTTCATCCATCAAATCATATAGACCATTTTGTGAACCGATTCAATAATTCAAAAAGAACAACAGCTAGACCTGAACATAGTTAGAAAAGTGTATTAACTAGAGATATGTCCATGACACTTAAGAGTCTACTAACTTGAATTACTTAAGCAGGCCTGAAAAGCACAATTTAAAAAATATATTTCCCCATTTTCCATGACAGTGGGATCCCTGGATTTCAGATGTTCTTTTAACTCACATCAATGATCATTTTACAGCTTTTGCAGGGTCCGATCTGGGAGAAAACTTGCAGGATGAGGGCCTCCGTCACGTCCCTGGAGAGGTTCCCGACATACCTAAAAACACAGGAGAGCAAAGCCAACTGAGAAACACGGTCACTGCGTTGCGTTTTTCCTCCATCTCTCACGCCAGCAGCGCATTCCGCGGGGTTTCATTTCTGCCACGTTTTCAGCGCACGAGAGCGAACAGCTAATGTGACCCTAAAGCTCTATATGTGATAGAAACGACGCCCAGCAAATATGCTGTCTTTCTGGTACCATATTTTACACCAAAGAAAAGCACGATAAAGGCCCTGTGGGGGGTATAATAACATTTAGGCGCTTTTTTTAGTAGTTAGCTCTTTGGGTAACGGAAACCTAGCGCTACCAACGGAACTTGTATGCTAGCTAAAGCCTCTTCTGCACTATAATTACTCATAATGCGGACAGATTAGTTCAGCCATGTGGATATAACTGGACAAATTAAAACAGCGTTAAGACTTAACAGTATATTCATGTCCGAGACCTCTGCTAGGCTCGGTTCCGCTGCCCCAGTTTTGTGTTTGTCTAGCCGGCTTATGCTGCAGGCGCTGAAAGCATGGACGTCCATATAACAATTAATATATATAACACTGAGTAATTAACGGACTCATGCTCTTGAGCTCATAATGTGAAGTTTGGCTCGCTGTGCTTGCGACCTGTGCGCCGCTTTAATAAACGTGTTAAAACACGAGTTTGGCTTCGCAAAGCGGCCGACTAAACTACAGCAGCACTCACAATGTCCTGGGCTGATCCTCGTCCATCATCATCATCGTGCTGGTGGGAAAAGGTTGACGCTTTGATTAAAAACTGCTCTGTTTTTAACGTTGGAGTGGATAAAGCCTCTAAGGTTTTAACTTGTTAGTTAACGCGAATTTACTGGAATAACTTCCTCTGACGTTACTCATAAAACGTCATCACATGACGTTGCAAGCGTTCCTCTTCAGCGTCTGCTGTTTTTGGAGAAAGAGACCGATTACTGCCCCCTATCAGATCATGCTCTGACCCTGGTGGCTCAATTCCGCGAATCGATTCTTTTGATTCAGTGAATTGTTTACATCACATCTCGGCGTGGCATTACATGGTCTAACGTTCCAGTAAAGCAATACGTAAATCTATTAATTTGTATTTATAAAGGCATTTATTGTGATTTCATCTGTCCCAATTCAATTTGTTCCAGGGGGGAATCTGCTTACAAAAAAATTAAGTCATTTAGAAAAACTGCTTAATTTTCATACTTTATTTGCATTCACATTAAGTTATGCTATAACTCATATCTGAAATAGTGACCCTGCTGTATTTCTGTGTTGTTATCTTCAAAGCGATATGCTTTCTAGAATATACAAATATAAAAGAGTGTAGGCATCACCAGAATGAATGTGGGTAACATTAAACCATTTTGTGTGAAATAGAGGGTAATTGATTTTCGTAACGTGTTGCCTTGTGGGATTTGGTGACCCTCCTGTATCTCTTACTTTTCACATCAATGCTTTCTAAAATATAAGATAGAGGTAAGACCTAAGGGTAGGCCAAAGACATTCAAGGGGATAACAGATTTGATGAACAGCGCGACTGTCTCCAAGTCAACCGATTCATTGAAAAGATCCGACTCAAAAGCACGATTCGTTTACGAATCACGGATCGCACATTGCTGACACATATCCAGCCCTTTTTGCGTTTCATTTCATGCCTTTTGCATTTAGCAAGACAAATTTGTAATAGCCATATCTACTGAGTCATTTTATATTGTACACCGCTACTAAACACTCATGCAAACTACATGCCTGAAGTTTCTCTCACTGTTCACTCACAAATCCGAAAAAGTCTGTAAATGTGTTATTTATGTGTCTAATAATGTCTGTTAATGTTGTGGTGTAGTCTTTTATTTCACCAAGCCAAGAAACAAATATGTTGTTTCAAATCTTCCTAAAATGCAATTTAGGAGCATGTGAAGCAAATTTCAGTAAAAATTGACCACGTTGGTCCAATCAAACGCACGTTGGCACCGGCTGAGAGGCGTGTTTAGATCCCCTGATGCCGCTCTGCAGTGAAGATGGCGGAGAGAGGAGACGGCCGTCTGAAGCCCACAAACATGGAAAGCCTTTGAGTGCATGCGGTCTTCAGTAGAGCATTTGTGTAGTTAGGTGAGTAAAAGAGAAGAGTGTGTCGAAACCTCTCTGATATTTATTCCTGTCGACATTTAGCAGATTTACGCTCAGTTCGGCTGAAAAGGTTTGAGTGCCGCACACGGCTCCTTTCAATGGCTAACACACGGATCAACTAATCGAAGCATAGATCGGTTCCTGCAGAACAAAACAAAAAGCGCTCTGGTAATTGTTTTATAACAAGAAGATGCGACACTAAATTGCAGTTTTTTTGTATCTGCTTGGTAAAATATAGCCATATCGCTTTTAGTTACTCCTAGCCGACCACTTAGCAAAGGCCTTTAGGCTTATGGTTCATTATAATACCTTTCAAATACAGTGTTTATTTACCGAGCCTTTTATTTAGCAACAACACTCAATTATTTTCATCGCGACATACAAATGCACAATTAGTCGGTTGTGTTAATACGGCTGTCTGCGGCATGCGACACCATAAGCATATGGGGAATTTAATATGCATCTGAGAAGTTTAGCCATCTAGAGCCGTTCTAAGTTTTTATGGTGCTCTTTGAATTTCTCCTGATGTTTCTTTTGTTTTCTTTCTTTCAGCACTGACAGAAGATCTGGCTTCCCATGATGGACAGAGTTTAGATGTGGTCAACTTTTAAGCTGAATGCATTGTGATTTCCAATAATTGAGACAGTGATTTCTAAAAAGCTGTCTACATTAATGAAAAGAACAATGTAGTCAGCTTAGCATATTCAACCATACACATGAATATTATTAAATAGGTGTCTTGAGTTGTGTAATGTGTTCATGCATGTGTTAGGGCTTTTTAGCTGAATTAGACAGTTCCCTTCCCAATTGCTTTCTCGTATAATTTTTAACGTAGCTCTTTTAAAGAAATTTAACATGGATGTAAATGAGATTTTACCTCCCCTCCCATTGGAGCCACCAGACGCAGTATTTGCGGGGAATGATTACTGTAAAGCACCTCCACCACCTCCCCTGCAAACGTCCAGTGACGCAGAGGAAATGGACGTTAGCTCTGGTGGTGATGGACACCAACACACCCCAGCAGTGGACAGGGACGAACAGCTTCTCCTCAACAAGCGCACATTGTCCGTTAGTAGCTGCCTGTCAGATAATTCTGAGCCCATGGCCAAGTGCCCTAGAACCGCTCGCCACGCTCCCCCAGTTACCAAGTTCTTACCTGATCTAAAACTCCTCAAAGATGTCAAGATCAGTGTCAGTTTCTCTGACAGCAGCAAGAGCAAAGACAGGAAGGTGTTGTATACTGGTTTGGGGCAGGTTAGGAATGAAGATCAGAGCCTAGAGGGCCTGAATGGCGAATTGCATGATTCTTTAAAGCAGAGAAGTGTTCCGGGCAGCTCGAACATGAGCGGCGGTTCCTTAGGTTTAGCTAGAAACCGCGAAGAGCTGGAGACAGAGCAGGAGAACAAGGTTGAGTTTGCCGTGCTGGACGACCTGGAAGATTTCAGCGAGAACTTTCTGGAAGCAGAAGACGGAGAGCAGAGTGGTTTCAGGTCTCAGATGATAGCTCAGCAGGAGCAAGCGCAAGAAGAAGACCTGAATTACTGCTATGAGGTAAAATGCATGGTCTCATTGTGAACGCTTTCTGTTCAAATTGAAAAATTACATTTATAATGTAGGTTAATTATTGTCATCTAAACCTCTTAATGCCCACCATTAAAAGCATCTACTGAAATGTGTATCTACCACAAATAGAGCACGTGTCTTTCATTCATCAAGATGGATCCTGGAGTGTAACAAGGTGGTCCATTTGAAGAACATTTGAATTACAGCTCCCAAAGTGGGCTTGATTCAAATCTGCTTCTCAGCGTATGTTTATATGATGACATGTCATTGGCTGCCAGTTTCTTACCCACCTACTCTTCCAGGAGGACTTTGACAATGATGTAGATGCCCTGCTGGAGGAAGGCATGCCCATGCCCAAGAAGAGGCGTCTGGCTGAAGACAAGTTCGCTGGAGACAGTGATCACCATTCGGATGGGGAGTCCGGAGTTCAGCCCATGATGACCAAAATTAAGACCGTTCTTAAGAGTGAGCCCTCTAGTCATAAACGCAGTTGCTACTCTAAAATGTTAGACTGCATTACTTTAAAATGTCTTAAGGGATAGTTCACCCAAAAATGAAAACTCTTGTTTAATTTTAGTTTTTGGGTGTTTATTTTAGTTTATCTTTATATAAATACGCAAAGGTGATGGGTCTTTTCAAACTCATGTATATTATAGTTTTCTGTACTTTTATTCTCTTTGAGAATTTAGTTTTTCAGTTAAAAATTTTTTTTTTATAAAAAAAAAAAAAATATATATATATATATATATATATATATATACATGATGCATGCATACATACATTTTTTCTGATGATCATTTAAATGGCTGCATACTGTTCAAAAGTTTTGGGTCGGTAATACTTTTAAATGTTTTTGAAAAGTCTTTCATGCTCACCAAATTAGCATTTATTTGAATACAGTTAAACGGTTATATTTTTTTAGATATTACAATTTAAAATAGCTGTTCTCTTTCCATATATTTTGAAATGTAATTTATTCCTGTGGCAGCAAAAGCTGAAATTTCTATTCAAAGCTTAAAAACAGCTTAATATTCATGGAAACTGTGATAAATATTTTTCACTTCAGGATACTTTGGCTCAAAATATCAGCATTTATTTAAAATGGAAATTATTTGTAACAATGTAAAAGTATTTTCTGTCACTTTTAAACAATTTAATGCATTATTGCTGAGTAAGAATATATATATTTTTTTATTTAAGTTGTAGTGTATATTCTGTATCAGACTAAAAGTAAATTGTGGTCATGTTTTTTTAAAGTCAATTTTGGCTTTGTGAAAATAAATTTTAGTTTTTCAGTTATACTGTTTAATGTTGTTTTAGTTAACAAATGCTTATTTTGGTTTTTGTGAGTGACTAACGATAATTCAGAACAGAAACCTGCATAGGACTCTGTGACTATAGTTTATCATTATTGATTGACATTAATATTATTATTATTTATTTATTTGTATTGTTTCTTTTTTTTAAGGTCGTGGGCGTCCGCCAACTGAGCCGTTACCCGATGGGTGGATCATGACATTCCATAACTCTGGCATTCCAGTCTACCTCCACCGGGAAACCAGAGTTGTGACCTGGTCCAGACCTTACTTCCTTGGAACAGGAAGCATTAGAGTAAATGTTTTAAGTCATCTAAGATAAGACTTTCATGATAGTATTTGTCTTGGTGCATCATTTCTACTTACAAATTGAATTGATCTTTACGTTCTCATGCACCTCGTCCCTGTATTCTACTCATTTCCCCCCTAGAAACATGACCCACCAACCAGTAGCATTCCCTGCTTGCACTACAAGAAAATGAAGGAACATGAAGATAGGGAACAGAATGGAGAGGTGACTCCGACAGCCGAGGTGTCTCCAGCGAAATCTGGAGAGGAGGGCGTCTCATCAGAGAGAGCTGATGAGCCTGACTCCACTGCCACAGAAGAGCCGACTGACAGACCAACATCAGAAGATCCAGATCCTGACATTATGGAACCAGGAGGATCCTCCGAGGGGAAGGAGAGCCAAGCCTGTGATACTGCACAGGGAGCGCTGGGCCAGGTCAGGGCCAAGGTGGAGATTTGCAAAGATGAGTCTATTGGTAAGAGAATTAGGTTTTATTCTCTCTTGTGCATCATTATTCAATATACACATGGTTTGTAAACCCTATCTTCTTGTGACTTGCATCCCAGAAATTGAGGAGTTTAGAAGCTACCTAGAGAAGTGCTTTGATTTTGAGCAAGTGACCGTGAAGAAGTTTCGCACATGGGCCGAGCGCAGACAGTTCAACAGGGACATGAAGAGGAAGCAGGCTGAGTCTGAGAGGCCCATTCTACCGGCCAATCAGAAACTTATCACACTCTCCGTACAAGATGCACCCACAAAGAAAGGTACCTGTCTGAGAGTCTGTACATTTATGAAGCGCATAGCAAAGAACGTGGTGTTTTGACAAGACTAACCATGTTTATATTTCAGAGTTTGTAATCAACCCCAATGGGAAGTCAGAAGTGTGCATTTTACACGAGTATATGCAAAGAGTACTCAAAGTGCGACCAGTTTACAACTTTTTTGAATGTGGTAAGTAGAATAAATAATGCATAAGACTAAAAAAAGCCAGTAATAAGCGTGAGTTGAATTATTAGTACGTCACATCTGCAGTATAATTTGCAGTTATGCTAATGAACTGTCACTTGGCAGAAAATGGGTTGTGATTTTTATCTTTGCAATTGATCATAATGCTGTTGTAAAAGCAATAAGCCGCTTAAGGCCATGCCGAACAGTTGAAGAGATTTTGGGCTTGACGTTGTGCAAATTTCCTCTAATCATGGTGAAATTTCTGTAATACATGGCCCGTTTAGGTATAATTTTTTTTAATGAAATATAAAGGTCTTAATGTAACATTTTTTTTTGCACAGAAAACCCAAGTGAACCCTTCGGAGCCTCAGTCATTATAGATGGTGTTACTTATGGCACAGGAACAGCAAGTAGTAAAAAACTTGCCAAGAATAAAGCTGGTACCTTCTCCCCCCTCTTCATTTAAATCTTTTGCAAAAATATATTTTTTTATGAATGGATTACTATAAACATTTATTTGACTGGAGAACAGTAATTATTCATACTGTTGTTCTCTTTTGGACAGCTCGAGCAACACTGGAGATCCTCATTCCTGACTTTGTGAAGCAGACGTCTGAGGAGAAGCCCGCAGAGGGAGATGAACTGGAGGTACTGCTCTTCCTTTCTGAATGAAGATATTTGATTATTGGTCAGTTCTTTTCTTTGTGTTACTAAAGGTCGTTTATTTCCTTCTCCCATCTCACAGTATTTTAATCATATCAGTATTGAAGATTCAAGGGTGTACGAGCTGACAAACAAAGCAGGTTTACTCTCACCATATCAGATCCTTCATGAGTGCCTTAAGAGGTATGTTATGATGTAGTTTCCCATTTGATTACACACAATTCAATATTTCAAGAAACACACCTGTTAATACAACCAGACAGTCTGTGGGTCCTTATTATTATCATCATGTCTGTTTGAAAAGCAACTGAAGATCTGTTGCTGTCTGTTCCATAGAAACCATGGCATGGGTGACACCAGCATCAAGTTTGAGGTGATTCCAGGAAAGAACCAGAAGAGTGAATACGTCATGACATGTGGGAAGCACACTGTACGCGGCTGGTGTGAGTATCCATGCTTAAAAAGAACTTTCATTTAAACAACCCTGTACAATTGTGAGTAAATCACTTGCATATGCGACCAAACTTCACGCTAGGCGACTCATTTAAAATTTTTTTTTGTCTATTTTAGTTTACTAATTTAATTAGCCAATGGCTAGTAAATTGTATGATTGCAGTCGCCTGTGATTTGAGTTAGAGGCAAAAAATAAGTTTAGCACAGATAATTTCATTGCCTGCTGAGCTTTACAAGTCCGTCGCTTGGCTAAGAGCGCCCTCTGTCGCTTTCTCTCACATATGCACACTGAACGTGAGAGAAAGATAGAGGCTTAAAGGGTTAGTTCACCCCAAAATGAAAATTCTGTCAGTAATTATTCACCCTCATGTTGTTCCAACCCCGTAAGACTTTCGTTCATCTTCGGAACACAAATTAAGATATTTTTGATTAAATCTGAGAGCTGGATCACTCCTCCATAGGCTTCTAAAGGGATCGAAACTGGCCAGCCCATAAAAGTTAAAGACATTGTTAAAATATTCCAAGTGACTACAGTGGCTCAATCTTAAGTTTATCAAGCGACTAGAATACTTTTTTTTTTGCGCAGAAAACAAACAAAAATAACAACTTTATTCAACTATTCATTTCCTTCTCTGTGAGATTTCACGTAGTGAAACTGTGCAAAGCTTCTGTGTTGCACGTCAAAATAAATGAACGGCCCAACCCTTGTCATGAATAATTAGGTGGTTCACACCTGAGAAGACAAAGACCTGCATAATGAGCCTTTCATTCAGGTGTGTCCCAAGAAAGAATGCAAGGACTATATATATATATATATACATAAGAAAAATATGTGTATGTATATATATATATATATATATATATATATTAGGCTTGGGCGGTATCCAAATTTTGATACCGTCAAACCTCCTCCCTATTTTACCGCGGTATACGGTATTACCGCGTGACTAATTAAAAATTATGACATAAGGCTCAGACGGCATCACCAAACTGTTGGTTTGTGCAGGGATGAGTCACAATTTTCGAATATTCAATTATTTGATTTTATTATAGAATATGGAATAGGTTGTGGGATTATTGTCTATAAAAAATCCCCATGTTTTCCGTTTTGATGCGGTGGTGACACGTTCAACCAGAGGGTGGCGATGCCAATAATGCATCTAAAAGCTGTCAATCAACTCTCAGACAACAGGAGAAGATGCACATTGTCTCACACCAGAGCATGTGAGCAGAGCATGTGAGCAGAGCATGTGAGCAGAGCATGTGATCGGAGTGGTAATATTTCCTCCAGAGCAGAGAGCGCATTTCTGAAGATCACGCGCCGCGTGCTCAGTCCACTCAGCGTCGCGCGCTCAGAACGCCCGCAGTGCATGCTGGTTAGAAAACATGTGAAGTAGGGCTGCCCGTGCACGACTAAAGTTTTTTTTTTTCTAGTTGACTAGTAGTTGTTGATTTAAGCCATTAGTCTAATCACATATTTATATTGATTAAATTACTTAAATATATATTGGAGAGAATGCTAAACCATAATGAGCGTTTTCGTAATATATTGCCTATTCTGCATCTCAAAGCACGCATAAAGCTTGGCACAAAGAACTGGCAAAAGTAATTATTATGCATGAAACATTTGAATTGTTTATTAATAAAAAACTTTCTATGTCAGTGGCTGCACAGATAAAGTTTACGATGCAGACTCGCATCTTTGCAGTAGTGAACGCGCATAGAGAGAAATGCACACTTCATATGAATTAGCTTACAGAGAGCAGGCCATTTCTTTGTTTTTAATTGTTTTGTTTAAAAGTAGACATTTCAAGCTTACTATATATATACACTTCTCAGATATTTAAGGCATCTATCTTATAAGCTGAGTTTCTTTTTTTTTTAGGAGACGCGCTCCCGTTCACGCGCCGGCTTATATTGTCTAATATATATGCTTCTTCTTTATTAATCCAGGCAATTCGTTGATGAAACATTGATTAAAATGAAGATACAATTTATACAAAAAAAAATTTACTTTAAAGAAAGGCTTTCTACAAAACAAAACGTAATAAGTGGTCAAAAATCATGTCTGACCCATTCCAAATGTTTCAAATCTTATGATCCTATCTTATTCATCTCATGCAGTTTCCTTTTCATATAATCAACATAGATGAAATAAAAAAAATAACAACATTATATTATTAAACATAAATATGAAAAGAATTTTTTTTTTTTTTTTTTTTTTTTTTTTTTTTTTACTTATAGCCTATTTAAGCGTCACACCGCTGTACATGCATGTGTGCGTGCATATGGTGGAGGGGTGCGATTTTTGAATAATAATCAAATAATACCAGGCGATCTTCAAATATTATTTTTGCTTGAAATGCCCATCCCTGCCAAACTGCAGAAGTCGTGTTCTTCTTCGAGACCAGGTCACTCGGTGCGCAACTTGCCATCTTTCCCCCTCTCTCCCCCACTCTTTCTCCTCCACACTGTCATGTGATGACAACCACACATAAGCATTTTTAGCCATTAAATAAATTATATTTAATCCTTGTCTCCTATATAAGTGCATTCGATTTTTTTATGACGGTATGACGATATTGAAACTGATACCGTTGCTATTTTTAGATCCCGCGGTATACGATATTACCGTATTACCGCCCAAGCCTAATATATATATATATATATATTTATTATATATACATACATACACATAGGCTATATGGGTTCAAGTAGGCTATATGGGCCATTCTATAGAATTGGTTCAAAGTTAGTTGGAAACATCTTGAAAAGAAAATTGTCTTTTTCCATAAATGTCTTATAAAGTATTATTTTTTAAAGTAGGCCAATACATTTTATCATATATATTTCAAAGTTAAGGATTCATTATTTTTATATAGCATAGCTTGCATTGGAACAAACACTATAACAGTTGATTAGTTTATTTTTGACAAAACATACTATATATTTAACATATGAGCAGAAACTGTCTTAACAAAAGCTTATTTGATGTCTATTTTAGAGTAAAAACTTTATAATCTATCCAAAACAAGTCAACGAAATGTTGTCATTACAGACACTATTCTATATCGCGATTAGAACAAATCTCAGTAGGCTATAGCAATATAGTTTGGATGTGTTCATGTAAAAATAGCGTTTACTAATGTAGGAGCGAGAGTGAATGAACGCACAGATGCGATGTACATTTGTAGTAAACAACATCGCGCGTGCATTCACACACAGACACGCAATTCATATTTAAACAGTCTTTGTGCAGTTTACAGACACTATTCAATAATGCGAATAGAACAAAGCACTTAAGAATAAATAACTTACTACATCAGCTGAATCCGTGCTCCTCGAAATGAAACTACCAGCACTTCTGAGGTAACTTTTCCAGGATTATTATGATAGTATTATTCCTCACAGCGCAGCAAGACGAGGTAAAGTACAAGATTCTTATACTTGGTGTTTAATCCAGCTGATGTGGGCGTTGACATGGCTTGCCTCAACATTTGCGTTTGAATAGCGCACACTCTCCGTGGGCGTGGTCACATTAACACGTAATAAGCTATAATTGGCTGAAAGGAAAAAGACTGACATCTCTCTTTTCATAGAGATTACATAAACTGATAATATTTTATATACTTCATTTAAAAGAAGAGAATTTCAGCTTCATAATGAAAAAATCTTTCGTGCCCGTGTGACAAGTATTCACTGAGTTACAGTTCATTTTCGACGTGTTTCAGAATGAACTTCACTGACAGAGAGAAGGCAAAATTCGCATCATGTTTATTTTTCTTTATTTGACAAAAAGCAGAACACTGTTTTTATTGTGAGTATCCACAAAAAATAGACACTTAACAGGATCTAATGATGTACAACACTTATATGTAAGATCAAAATCAACAGAGTAATTTGAGTCTCTTTTGCACTGATAAGGAAAAAAGTGAGCTTGGCGCGATAGCCGACCCCAGAGGGTTAAAGCACACAAGTAAAAACCAATGTTTCACAGCGCTAGACTTTTGAAAGGAGTGTTCCACCCTGCAGGTTATTCATAAGCCACATAGCTAATACTGTTAACTCTTGTTGACTGCAGGTAAAAATAAGAGGGTTGGAAAGCAGCTGGCGTCACAGAAGATTCTCCAGATGCTTCATCCTCACGTGAAGAACTGGGGCTCACTGCTGCGCATGTACGGCAGAGAAAGCAACAAGATGGTAAAAAAGGTCAGCACTATCTTTGTCGAATCATACTCTGCATATGTGTTCATAAGGTGAATTCTTTTTTTTTTATGTGGTTGTAATGTTGAATTCTTGTCGTCTTCAGGAGAACTCCGATAAGAGTGTGATTGAGCTTCAGCAGTATGCCAAAAAGAACAAGCCAAACCTCCACATCCTCAACAAACTACGAGAGGAGATGATGAAACTGGCTCAAGAAAGGGTATATCTGCAAATATGACCTCTTCCAGCCAAATCTTGCACTTTGGATAAATTAACTCCTCTTTGGACGAGTTGATGCATTGCAGTCGACCAAAAAATAAATTCCGTAAAGTGACAGCTAAACAGCTTTTCTAGTGCGTACTAATTTGTCTTTTTATATTTGTTTCAGGAGGTGGCAAGAAAGAAGCCGAAGATGACTATAATGGAGTCTGCTCAACCTGGCAGTGAACCTCTGTGTACTGTTGACGTCTAGCAAACCCTCATCCAGCAACTTGTGATAGCAGATAGCACTGACCAATGGTAATAGTTCTATAACAAAAGGTCATCGCAGCATTACTGACTTATGCATTACTTTGCTGTGCAAAATGGCAATACTAGTTACATTTCTATCTGATTTTTGAGCTCTATTCCCAGTCCAATTATTGCCCATAATGAATGGGTTCAGTTAGAGTTGTATACATGCACAGGGAAGGTAGAATGAGCATTAAATACCTCCAGATGCACTTCTGCACCTGAAAAGTGCACAAATAATGATGGCTGTTGACAATGCCTATATGAAAATCATACAAAATGTGTATTAAGTATTACAGATGCTTTTAAGTTTGTGGCTTTTAGATGTTAATAAAAATGTTGCTTTTCCCTTCTTAAACGGCAAATAAATTCATTTCATATTTACTGTGCAACTACAGATTTCACACGCAAGACTATCTCAGTACTCTTTACTGATGCGTTTTTCAGACATGTCTGTCATTTTACAAGGATTGGTTCCTTTGTCAGCTTCGGTGGCATGCAGAGTTGTTCATTCAGTGCACGTGATCTTTTATCTGGAAAATAGTTTATAAGTGTGTGGGTTTTCTTTAGTGGCCATGTCTAGTTCTTATTGGCATGTGAAGCATTTAAATGTTGTATTTCTAAAGCATTTCATATGCACACTTACCTTCCAACTGCTGTTAAGAAATGCACTAATGTTGGAACTTATTTCCTTGTGTGTGAAATGAACAAGCCCTTTGTTTTAATTTTAATTAAGGGGTGATGCACACCAATGGTCAACTTGACCAGTTGCTCTACTTGTTCAGAAAGCACGGCAGAGAAAGCACAAGTGTTTGAGGTACTGTAGTTCGTTGAGGAAGACATCAGGGATATAGGATGCTTGTGTATGCTACTTTTTTTTTTTAGTTGTCATCTTTTTATTACGTTTTCATTATTTTTTTTATATAACCTAACTCTTGCATTAGATACTGGTTGGTAATCTTCAATTGAAAAAAAAAGGTATATTTTGCCTTAGTTTGTACCCCTTTCCTTGATGGTACCTTGTGTTTTAAAAGGGAAACGCCTCACTTAAATCTGCATTTGTGATGCTATACGTTATGTATTTGAGGATTGACGCTTGCTTTATGCATTGATATTTTAGAGAAAATGCCTTTTAATGCATGTGCTTTTTTGAGTTTGTCTTAAATTCTGTATGGTTTTGTGGACATTTTGCTGAGGTGATTGTGCTTGTTTTGTTCAGATCTTATCACGGTGTATTATAGTTTGAACCATATTCATTATTTCAGAAGGCAGTTTACCTAAAAACAGGTGGTAACTCCATACCTCGAAGAAAATCAGACCATGTCGTTGTATTCAATAGCTTGAAGAGCAGTGTGAACCAAAGCTTTAAGTCTTATGCATTTTTATAGAATGTTGCTGCATAGCTATTCATAATATATCTAAACATACATGGAATTATTAAATAAAATAAAAAAGATGCAATAACTGCTGGAATAAAATGATGGTCCCTGTTTGAAGAAAACCACCCCTTCCCTGAAACTATTAGGGCTGGATATATCCTTTCAGATGTTCCAATTCGATTCGATTTCTATTCGATTTTGACTCTGGATTCGACTCAAATGAATATAGATTTAATACAAATCCTATATTTATAATAAAAAAAAAAAGAACAGTGAACATAAGTTTACAAGTGGTTAATTAATAAAAAGAAATTAAGAGCCACAAACCTGTGTATTAAACTTTTTATTTTAGGTACACTTGGGTACATTAAAACAACCCAACTCTATATTTCAAATGCATACAATGAATAGACAGGATTTTGATGCAAGATGAAAAATGTATGCTGAAAGTCAAAACAGTTGCATGCCTTGATCAAACAGGATCAGGTTATTTTATGTTTTAGATAAAACAAACAATCTCACGTCACAGCATTATCTGTAACATGGAGGCTGCAGGCCTATGAACAATGTAGAAAAACTAATACTGGCCTTTGGGTAATAGATAAATATGGAAAATTTCTATTCGTGTCCTTTGATACTCGATTTTGAATCAACCACATTTAAAAAAACATTTAATTTTAACTTTTTTTGCCCAGCCCTAGAAGCTATTAGGGGAGAAAGAAAAATATATTCTGGCCTTAAGAAATGACAGGAAGGTCAAAGTCTGTTTAACACAAGTGAATCAGGTTTTCTTGGGACAGCGACTAAACGCAGTGCACTGTCAGTGAATTTAGTGTTTTAGTTTGTGTGCTTCTGAATGTTAACTGTTTGTGAAGACACTTTTCCTGTTTTCAATGAGCACAAGGCTGCTGCCATACTAAGAGTGCTTAGAGAATATGCTTTCCCAATAAATGTCTGGGGTGTACGACTTGTCCTGTCAGTCTTGCCAAGTGAGTATTAGTTATGAAGAAATGCGTGCTTTTTAATGCGCTATCGTTGAAGGGATAATGTTGAATGATTTAGCTGCAAGTAATGTGACATGATTGCTGATACAGTGATTGGTTTATGCAAATAAATTGATGACCAGAAACTGATGTCTTGTGCTGTTTTTGATTGGGTTGTTTTAATGCAAACAAAAGAGAAAAAAGGAAACGCATAAAAAAATATGGTAATGGTTTGAGCACTTTGATCAAGTCAGTTAAAATCTGGGTGGGGAAACAACAAAAACAATTGAAATACATTGTTTTTTCTCTCCTCAACACTTCCATCCAAGAGCTTTAACAGAAGAGAAACTGCTGTGTCAGCATGGTAGATGGTAAGGACAGCAGGGCTTCAGGTCTCTGTGGTCTGACTGTCAGTATTGGAGCTGTAGTCCACTCTTTCAAACAGCAGGATGGTTTCACAGTGCATGGTCTGAGGGAAGAGGTCAACAGCCATAGCTCTCACTGGACGGAAAGCGGCTCCTTTCACACGGTTAGAGGGAGCTCTACAAAGACTTTTAGACAAACAATTTATTCAAAAGGAGTAGGCTCTGATGTGCTTATTTCACTCTAAGTAATATAGTTGAATGGGAACATTTTATAATACGGTATATTGTCAGCCTGAAAACATTAACCCTATTTTCTTAATGCAAATTTCTGGTCTTATTGTGCTAGGGGAAGAGGTTTGTTTAAATAAGCCAAAAAGGAAATGGTAACACTTTATTTTACTGTCCTTGTTACACGTTACAGTTCATGTAGTTATTGTAGTAATAACTAAATTATGCATAATTACATGCAACTAAACCAACCCCTAACCCTATAGTAAGTACATGTAGTTATTATTACTCAGTACTTAAATGTATAATTACACTGTAACCTTCAAATAAAGTGTAACCAAAGAAATTTAACGAGGTTTGTGTCACAAATCCCTCTCATATTTCAGCTTTTCCACTCAAACCACCTACATTCTAATATGTAATACTGAAATTTAACAATTCAATCAATTTGTGATAGATTTGATGTCCCTGCCCTAAATTTGTACTTGTTATATATCCTGTTTCAGATTATGGAAGTAAAATTTGTTTGCAAATGCATTTCGTGTTGACTTTAAATAGAAAATAAACTTACTCAATAAAATTGTTCATAGCTGCTTTGGCATTGCAGGCGACATAGACGAGTCTCTTCAGATGCTCTGCTCTTCTGATCGCTAGAATAACTTTGGAATCTGGTAAGAGTGAGAACCTTGGTCAAAACTTAAAAACACCACGTCTACAAGTTAAAACCAGTAATATCAAGATACTATGAAAGAGTACTTTACGTACGTAGCCCCGCTCTCGGAGGATCTACAATTGCCGTGACGTTAGGGGACACCACAGCATTAAGAACAGTGGGTAACACATCTTCAGCCTTTCCACAGTGGAATTCCACATTGGTCAAGCCTGAAAATGTACGTTTGAAGTCTGAGTAGATCATGGGAGATGAGATGGAGTGAGAAAAATAGGACAGTGATAATGTCACTCTGGCTTACCATTAGCTTCAGCGTTAGCTTTAGCATCTTCCACTGCCTCCTGGCACAATTCAATGCCAATCACCTTCTTCACCCTCTGTTAATGACAACACAGAATTTTGTATTTTTCTAAGGCGGCTAACTGATGTTCTGAGAACAGTTTTCTGGGTTTTTTTGTGTGTATTCTTAGAAGCAAACGCCACACCTTTGCCAGTGAGATGCCGATGGTTCCTGTTCCACAGCACACATCCAGCACAGTACTGTCCTGGTCCAGTTGAGCCCATTCACCCACAGCAGAGTACAGAACCTCAGCAGCAGGTGTGTTCGTCTGGCAGTATCAAAATCATAATATTGTAAACTTTTCAATAGCAATAATGCAGGACATTTAATCAATATTAATATCCTCTACTTAACAGGGGTGTAACGATACCCTCATGTCACGAATCGACACATATCACAATACTGAACTCACGATACGATATTATTGCGATGCACCAAGACATACGGTAAAAGGTTAACAAAAAATGTACTGTTGATTAAAATGCTAAATTTGGTATTACATTGGGGTGGAAATGAATTGGCTTGGACTTGGTGCTGGTGACAATAGTGACACCAGAATAAAAATATGCATGATTCTGAAGCTGAAAATACAGAATTATTTTAGATGAATATGCTTGCTACTATGCCCCTACTACTTAATATTCTGAATCACATATATGATGGCATAAAGAAATGAGTATCCTGATGCTTTTTAACTATCGTAGTGTACTGTTAATCCTCAAGAAATGACCTGGAAGAATGAGTGAGGAGAAATGCGAAATTTCAGTCCGAGAAGTTCTTCGTGAATGCATTCTTCTCCGGTCACATGTTCACATGGCAGGTCCTCTGTACCCGCAGAAGTCCTGGGTTGATGCAAGTTAATAAATTAATGTAAAGTGCTCCAAAATCGAAATTAATCTCATTTTAAATTTTGGGGGGCTTACCTTTGTCCCATTCTCACAAAGTACAAAGATGTGAGGCCACTTTCTTTTCCTTCTCCTTCGGTAAAATACTGACGCAGATTTCGTTTCAGTTCCTCAAGATCTTCTTCTTGGAGTTTCTAGTTTGTAAAAAAAAAAAAAAAAAATTATTCAGCAGTAACAATAGTTCCACGATTTGTAAAATGAATAATGTCTAAAGTGGACACAAAAATAACCACTGAATAAATCTCTTTTTTACCTGTGGATTGAAGAAAACAATGGCCATGGTTTGCTTTATCCTGCTTGTTCGTACCGTCAGTTGCCTCCAATGACCTTCATAAGTCTCTGGACTGTATACTGCATATGGAGTGGTCCTGTTCAGGATAACACAAAATACAAAAAATAGAAATACATACACATTGGCTGATGTGTAATGCAGACATAGATTTTGGCCCTGGAATTGAAACAAATTTCACTGATAGGCCCATAACTATAATTAGATTTAGATGCACATTAAACAGTCAACAGTAAATTCATTCACCTGATGAACTGCTGGAACTCCTGCACAACCCTCTTGGCCTCAGAAGACACATGGGTGGTTTCTGATGGACTCACTACTGCACAGGATCCTCCTTTATACTTACCCAAACGAAAGCCCACAGTCTTATCCTCTCCATCTGCTCCCACTCCAATCACAAACTCACACTTATTCCTGTACTCCGTCTGTAAGTATAGGGTCTTTATTAGACGGTGACAATCACACTCAGTCATACTATTTCAGTAACCACAGATTTTATTAAACGGATGATTTCTTTTTACAGTATATAGTGTTTAATTAACCTCAAAAGTTACATTAAATCAGTCAGAATGTGCTAAATAAGCACCCGCGAACTGTAACCAACCATAGCAACAATTCATGAAATAAGCTGCATGAGCGTGGTCCGTTAGGTTACCATAAGTAGCCTACTATCATTATTCATCACTTTATTATAGATTTACACATTACAAATTGTTTTAATCGTCTTTAATAAAGTTGACGGTAAGTTAAATGTGCAAGGGGCGTGACAGAAATGTTAAATATTCAACCTTTCTGAACACCATTGAATAATTCTTATGCTGAATACAGTGGTAATGCCATGATAGTTTATGATATTTATTTAGTTAAATATGTTATGTGTTAGATTAGAATAATACATGCGAGTATGCGGATGATTTACCTGCACAGGTGATGGTCTTATGGCCTCGAGTGGGCAGCACATTTTGTTGTACTTCTCTTTTTGAACGAACAGCCAGGGAAGCATGGCTTTGTTGTTGTTGCCAATTTCTCTGAGAACAAGTATCAAGGAAGATAGTTGTATTGAAGGAACTTTTACTGACCAACATCATTTTCTATACCACCAGAAGCACATGTATGAAATATATGGGTGACAATGTCATGCGATTTATAATTTTTTTCTGTTTTAAAAGAAATATCTGGAAGCCATTCATGCATATGCATGTCACCAGACCCATCAGAAAATCAGAAATACCTGGTCAGTTTCAGGAGAACACCTTCAACTTCTTTCTCTTTCCTCTTCAGCTGTTCTTCATAAGGCACGTTCCACAAGGGTGTCACAGCATTGGCAATCTGGATATCGAGAGGCTCTTCCTCATCCTCCTCTACCTCCTGGCCACCCGCAGCACGTTTTGCACCCGGCGGGCCACCTTCCGTTTCCTCCTCTTGCTTCCTCTTCTTGAGGATGGGATCAGCTTTGGGCTTGGCCAGCCGTACACTCAGCACTTTACTCTTCCATTGCATGCCGTGCACTGCCTTCATGGTCTTGTCCCTTTCCTCCTGGTTCTTAAAAGTGACAAAGGCAAACATCTGTCTGCTAAACAGCTTGATTTTGTGAGGATTAATCCCATGCTTGTTGAGGAACTTCTTCAGGTCATTAAAACCAATGTACTTGGGCAAGTTTTGGATCTCAACTTTAAAGATCTCTGAGGTAAAGAGATCTCCTCTGATGTAACGGTACACATCACTGGCTGCACCCTCTCCTTCTGCTGCTGTCGCCTCTGTCTGATTCTCTTCGTTTTTCTCCTCCATCAGGTCATCTGGCTCCTTTTCAGTGCTTGGTAATGAACCATCTGGAACATTCTTGTCAACGGCAACATCTGTCATTTTGATCTGCATGAAATGCCAAAAGAATCTGATTATTAGACCTTCAATTTCAAGAATCTGTTTTAGCAACGTTATGCAATGCGTTATGCTATAATTCACTTAAAACTAACCAACATTTATAGCTTCATCTACAATTATTATACATATATTTCAGACATCATATTAATTGAGAGACTACAATGGAATATTTGTACTTTAAAATTTATTTTCTCACACAGCAGGACCATTGAAACCAAAAATTAGTGCACAATTATATACAGGATATACACAAGATATACGAATTCCCTTATACATATGCATGTACATTTTAACATTCTAAAAAAATACATTGGCATGTTATATGTCAACTAATGGAAGGGACAAGACTAAAAAAACAAAGCAGGTTGTATTTTTAGGACAATTAAATGCAAAGCAAATGGAAAGCAAAGTTATTTCTGATATTTCTTCACATCGTCTGAACAAACCTGAGCTGTCAAATCACCCTGGTATTCAGTGTTCCTCACTATAAATCCTGAAGGAGCTCTAAAACCACTGTGCACTTTATGCATACATGCAAGCTGCCATCTTTGAGACAGAAACACGTGTCAAAAGCAGCGCATTGTGGGAACACCGGTCAAGGTCTATTTAATAATATGTTCTTCTAAGACTAATTGTTTTAAATATACTAATTAAATTTAAATATCACAGGTAATTTCATTGCATTGTATTTAGACATTTAAATTCGTTTAATTCCAGCGCAGCGTTTAATTTTATCTAACACAAAAAAGCCGAGACTTTTATTTTGAAGTGTAACTCAACTGTGGAAAGTAAGTGCCGAGTCTCTACTGTGACGGACCAAGAAGTTTGGCTGCATTAGAGGTTCGTGTTCGGAAAAGGCAGAAAGAAACAAGCACGAATGACTATCAACTGTTGTTAAACATTACATGATAATCTGTAAAAGACAACAGGGGGGATAACTCACCGAGATCAGATTATTGAATGAGAGGCCAAACACCTTCGACAGTAGCTTCTAGCTCGGTGCTATCTGGAACCAAGACAGCGCAAATTACAACGGAAAGTCACTTTTATTAAAAGACTCGGTGCTGTGGGATTTCAGCCGAACTTCAACCTGGGATGGACGACCTAACAGTACTGGAGCCTTGGATCTGATTCGTATAAGGACTGACAGCGGTTTTTCAGTGTTCAGATGTGGCTGTTGGGACTGGAGACGGGAGACGTGTCACTGATAAAGCGGCTGAAGTTGAAGTTAGAGCCCCAACGCTGACAGACATTTATTCATCAGCCCAGTCCAAAAGTCCAGTCAGCACATAACCCGGACCTGTAGGGTTTCTTATTCACCTTTAACTTCACTGCCTGGCGAATTTAACACTTCTTAACCCTCCCCTGGTGAGGGTAGGACGTGTTTTGTCAACATGGGTTCGTTGTTTCGGAGTGAGGAGATGTGTCTGGCCCAACTCTTTCTGCAGTCCGGATCCGCTTATGACTGTATCAGTGAACTGGGCGAACTGGGGCTGCTGGAGTTCAGAGACGTAAGTGTATAATCTTTTTGTGTGACGTGATATGAATTATGCTATTTAAAAGCAGGAACAAGTGATCAAGTCTTTAATTAGACGAACATTTCTCCATTTTTAATAAAGTAGGCTAAACGTACCTATTAAGCTCACCAAAATCTACATTGGGACATTTTTAGTGCACAGGATATTGGTTTCAGTACAAGAAGTTATGTTAAAATAAAATATTAATCTTTCACACAATAATATTTGATTTAATTTTAAATGACAAATGCATTTCAATGAAGTTTAATTATGTACAATACATAATTAAATACAAAAAGTCTGGCTGTGCTTAATGGGTACATTTGTGTACCTTTTAGGCACACCCCTGTTGCCAATAAGCTCACAACATGTTTTATTAAAAATTCTTGTTTATTTCCAACAACCTTTTTAAAGAATAAGGCACAAAGTCAATCACAAAAAAACAGAACACTAAAATCAAGCACCAGATCTAAAAGATGTATAAATGTTTAGCACACTTTAGTTTGCACAATTTTATTATCTCTTATTAAGTCATTAACAAAGAATCTTTATACAGTGTTTAACTCTGTGTAAAATAAATTCAAATAGTTAGAATAGAAATGTCATGACACATTCATTTCCATATTTTAACTTATTATTTTAATGTACATGATTTTCTAATCTGATGTTTTTATTTGTTTCAGCTCAACCCAAGTGTGAACTCTTTTCAGCGCAAGTTTGTCAATGAAATCAAGAAATGTGAAGAGATGGAGAGGATTCTAGGTGAACGCTTTGCTGTTCAATTCTTACTCTAATAAGGCCAAGGGCATAGTTAAAAAAAATCATGTTACAGTATTTCAGTAAAATGATAGATCTGTTAAAGGGTTTCAATACTTTCTGAACACATGAACGTTAAACCTAAGATATACAAATTAGGTTATTCACATTGCATTCAGGTGAGTTTATTCAGTAAGGTGTTTCATTTTTATATGTTGTGATGGCACTTGATCAATGCTCAGAAACATAATGAACTCAAAGTGGACTTGTGTAACAGGATATCTTCTGAGGGAAATTAAAAAAGAAGACATCCCACTGCCAGAAGGCGAGGTGAACCCAGCTGCACCATTACCCAAACATGTGATGGTCATAATGGTGAGATCTGTTCAACACGGTTCATTTGTTTAGCTCTTGTGTTATTAGTTGACCTTTCAAATTTCTTTTTTTTTTTTTTCCGGTCTGTACTCTCACTGGCAGTTGCCTAGTTAAACCTGCTTTAAATATAATTTATATAATTCTTATTCTGTTTTCTGTCTTTTCATAGCTGAGCTATTTACTTTTGTTATAAAGATAACTTTTAAGAACATTTAAAAACTCCCCTTATTTTACATTGATAGAATATTTGGCATTAGCCCTTTCTTAAATCTAAATGCATATCCATCGTCTTGTCCTTATTTAATTAATTTATTGCCTGTATTTGACATTAATGTCAATCAATCAGTTGAAGTCTGTTTTGCAGTGCCCTACTAGATCTCTTTCAGGAACACTTTCCTCAATGCCTGTGCAGTGATATGAATGCTGATATTTAGTTATGACTGAGGCCTTTGTGCTTTGTTTTAGGAGCAACTTCAGAGACTGGAACTAGAGTTGAGTGAGGTCACCAGGAACAAGGAGAAACTTCAGAAGAACCTTCTAGAACTGACTGAGTACACGCATATGCTGCGCATCACACGCAACTTTGTGCACCACAGTGTAGAGGTAGGACATGTGATTCCCTGTCACAAGTTTTGAGCTTAATTAAAAAAGACGTCTGACTGGTGGAAGAATTTACCATATCTTCATATGAATCAAAGTTTTAAAAAAATCTTAGTTCAGTCTTGTCTGCATTTTGTCTTTTGTTTCTCTGTGTCTTTTGATGTTTTTGATACATGACCATGTTCGACCTCTTTCGTGTAATTGAAAGGAATTTATCTCTAGAGAGCAGGATTGTGGGTTTCATGCAGGTGATTTGGAGTCACCTGATTTTCACTGACTGCCAGAACTTGTAATTCTTGACCTCTTCTTTTTGATTCTGGAGGCTATAATGGGCCTAGGGCTGGCCAATATGGCAAAAAAAAAAAAATATATATATATATATATATATATATATATAATATACAAAAATAATATTTGCCTGAATGATGATATACGGTATATATCTTGGTATTTTCTACTTTTTTTTTTCTATTTGGATTTAAAAAAAAACTGTAATTATTTAAACACAAAAGTTATTTCACATTCTGCCCAATGTTGTCATACAAACAATGTTCATATTAAAGGCTATGAAAACAAATAAAGTGAATGTAACCATGTATGCTATGCTATATATTGTATGCAAAACTCAAAAGAGTTCAAATCACATTGCAACGTAACATTACAATCTAAAAACAAAATAATGTTTTTTAAAGCAGAAGGTAATTTCACTAAACTAAAAATGAAAATAAATTTGATTACCCCATTAACTATAGTCACTTTACAGTTTTTGCTATGATAAAAATACACTTACTTGTAGGTTTAAAATTCTACATATGGCACATTTATTGTCCAACAACAAATATTTTAGCAAAATGTAGCTATATTTTAGTCATAATTATTGCATCCTATTCTGTTCCGCTTCATCTGTTTGGCGCACATGCGCGTGACTGCGCTCGTTCATTGTGTGAAGTTTCAAGTGTGTGAAGTTTAGCGGAGACTCACTTGGGGAAGGCTTGTCCACTCCCGACAGCAAAATGGAAATATTTGCATGACTTTAACAGATGAGGAATATATCTGGGAAAAGTTATGCACTAAGGACAACACCACATCTCAAAAGCATTAAACGGCACAAGTATCTGTCAGAGCATCTGATGGGGCAAGCCGCTTCAAACTATAAGTGTCAACTATATCTTAAGAGTTATTTTAAAGCCCTTAATATAACGCATATCTCATGTTTAGGACAAATTGGATTCAGATGCGCTCATAATATCACACTACTGTATTCATCGATATAAACGGTATTGCCTCATTCTATATCGTTTACAAAAAAAAGATTGATATATCGTACAAACTCAATATACCACATATGTGTTTGTGAATCTAATATCTTGCTGTGTTTCTGCTTGTGTATGATTAGAGGGAGTCGACACAGGCCCAGTATGAAGAGTTTCCGTTTCTAGAGAAAGAACCTGTGATGGACTACACCAGCATGCAGAGGCTTGGAGCCAAGCTTGGGTGAGCAGTGTTTAAAAACATAAAGTTGAAAGTATACTTCCCTTGTCTGCGTTCTGCTCAGGCTCACCAACAGTTAATGTGATGTCATTTTCATTTTCAGAACAGTCCACTGTTGCACACCTTCTGTGTGCAGCTCAATTGTTTTGTGTCTGTGTGGACAACTGCATATGTGTGAATGATTTGATCGCTTGAAAAGAAAGGTCCTCTGCACTCGCAGTCAATGTTGTATAGTTTAAAAGGCTTGCTCGCTCAACTGTATGTGAACAGAGTGAAATGCAGGAAACGGCGTATACCCGGGCATTAAAGGGATAGTTCACCCAAAAATGAAAAATCTGGTCGGCACCTATAGCCTCGTGGTCAGCGCGCCGATATGTATTAAAATCTGTCATTAATTACTCACCCTCATTCCAAACCCATAAGACTTTAGTTCATCTTCGGAAGACAAAGGAAGATCTTTTTAATGAAATGTGAGAGATTTCTCTCCCTCCATTGACAACTACGCAACTACCACTTTGACGCTTTAAATAGTTCACAAAGAGATTGTAAAACTAATCCAAATTAATTGAGCGGTTTATTCCAAATTTTCTGAAGAGACACGATTGCTTTATATGGTGAATAGATTGAATTTAGGCTTTTATTCACATATAACCAGGGTTTGAAATTAACACCCAAAAAAATCAACTGTGGCAGGGTATCGCTTTCAAACGCTTAGCCAATTTGGCGTGTTACTTATTAATTATTTGTTTATTCACTTTACTGGGGAAGTTTGTGTAAGTGTAAGATTTAGCGCAAATACTCAACTCGTGAGTCATCGTGATCTATTAAATAACAGCGTATTGCACAGAATCCGCGTATCTGTCTGTCTTAAACATGCCGTCACTAGGCATGATTATTGTATGATTATTATATGTTTTGATTATTTTAATTTCTTCTATGTAAAGCACTTTGAATTGCCATTGTGTATGAAATGTGCTATATAAATAAACTTGCCTTGCCTTGCCTTGCCTAGGCAACAAATAACGACGCGTTTGTTCATTTGCATTGAAGCAATAGTGAAGATTAAAAAGCATATGGTTAACAGAAAAGACATTATTTTTCAACATACTAAATTGGTTTGATGTTCCTTGTACTGTATTGATCTGTCCACCTAAAACACATTTTTGGTGAAAAGCATGAGGGTGAAATAGGAAGGGAGAAGGATTTTGTTTGAATAAGAAATATATAACGTAGTTAATCTGGTTAATTTCTTTTCTTTTTTGGCTAGTAGAAGTTCTGAATGGCTGGTAACTTAAAAAATTAATAGCCAAATTGGCCTGTGAGTGAAAATGTTAATTTCAAACCCTGCATATAGCCATTCATCAGCTGACACATCAGTTGTGGTAAACGGAAGCTTAATCATGTTCGCTTGACATGTGAGAACCAATGAGGTTCATTCTCGTGTTACGCAGCCCGTTTGAGCTTCCGCAAGAACCAATGAGGTTCTTTGTCGTGTTGCGCAGCCCGTTTGAGCTTCCGCAAGAACCAATGAGGTTCGTTCTCGTGTTACGCAGCCCGTTTGAGCTTCCGCAAGAACCAATGAGGTTCGTTCTCGTGTTACGCAGCCCGTTTGAGCTTCCGCAAGAACCAATGAGGTTCTTTGTCGTGTTGCGCAGCCCATTTGAGCTTCCGCAAGAACCAATGAGGTTCGTTCTCGTGTTACGCAGCCCGTTTGAGCTTCCGCAAGAACCAATGAGGTTCATTCTCGTGTTACGCAGCCCGTGTGAGCTTCCGCAAGAACCAATGAGGTTCTTTGTCGTGCTACGCAGCCCATTTGAGCTTACGCAAGAACCAATGAGGTTCGTTCTCGTGTTACGCAGCCCGTTTGAGCTTCCGCAAGAACCAATGAGGTTCGTTCTCGTGTTACGCAGCCCGTTTGAGCTTCTGCAAGAACCAATGAGGTTCGTTCTCGTGTTACGCAGCCCGTGTGAGTTTCCGCAAGAACCAATGAGGTTCATTCTCGTGTTACGCAGCCCGTTTCAGCTTACGCAAGAACCAATGAGGTTCATTCTCGTGTTACGCAGCCCGTTTGAGCTTCCGCAAGAACCAATGAGGTTCATTCTCGTGTTACGCAGCCCGTTTGAGCTACCGCAAGAACCAATGAGGTTCATTCTCGTGTTACGCAGCCCGTTTGAGCTACCGCAAGAACCAATGAGGTTCGTTCTCGTGTTACGCAGCCCGTTTGAGCTTCCGCAAGAACCAATGAGGTTCATTCTCGTGTTACGCAGCCCGTTTGAGCTTCCGCAAGAACCAATGAGGTTCATTCTCGTGTTACGCAGCCCGTTTGAGCTTCCGCAAGAACCAATGAGGTTCATTCTCGTGTTACGCAGCCCGTTTGAGCTTCCGCAAGAACCAATGAGGTTCTTTGTCGTGTTACGCAGCCCGTTTGAGCTTCCGCAAGAACCAATGAGGTTCATTCTCGTGTTACGCAGCCCGTTTGAGCTTCCGCAAGAACCAATGAGGTTCGTTCTCGTGTTACGCAGCCCGTTTGAGCTTCTGCAAGAACCAATGAGGTTCATTCTCGTGTTACGCAGCCCGTTTGAGCTACCGCAAGAACCAATGAGGTTCATTCTCGTGTTACGCAGCCCGTTTGAGCTTCCGCAAGAACCAATGAGGTTCATTCTCGTGTTACGCAGCCCGTTTGAGCTTCCGCAAGAACCAATGAGGTTCGTTCTCGTGTTACGCAGCCCGTTTGAGCTTCTGCAAGAACCAATGAGGTTCATTCTCGTGTTACGCAGCCCGTTTGAGCTTCCGCAAGAACCAATGAGGTTCGTTCTCGTGTTACGCAGCCCGTTTCAGCTTCCGCAGGAACAAATGAGGTTCATTCTCGTGTTACGCAGCCCGTTTGAGCTTCCGCAAGAACAAATGAGGTTCTTTGTTGTGTTACGCAGCCCGTTTGAGCTTCCGCAAGAACCAATGAGGTTCGTTCTCGTGTTACGCAGCCCGTTTCAGCTTCCGCAGGAACAAATGAGGTTCATTCTCGTGTTACGCAGCCCGTTTGAGCTTCCGCAAGAACAAATGAGGTTCTTTGTTGTGTTACGCAGCCCGTTTGAGCTTCCGCAAGAACCAATGAGGTTCGTTCTCGTGTTACGCAGCCCGTTTCAGCTTCCGCAGGAACAAATGAGGTTCATTCTCGTGTTACGCAGCCCGTTTGAGCTTCCGCAAGAACAAATGAGGTTCTTTGTTGTGTTACGCAGCCCGTTTGAGCTTCCGCAAGAACCAATGAGGTTCGTTCTCGTGTTACGCAGCCCGTTTCAGTTTCCGCAGGAACAAATGAGGTTCATTCTCGTGTTACGCAGCCCGTTTGAGCTTCCGCAAGAACAAATGAGGTTTGTGCTCGCACGTTCGGTTGAGCTTCGGTTTATGTTCGCTCGCTGATCAATGTTTAAATGTGAATAAAAGCCTAAATTTAATCTGTTTATCATATAAAGCGATTGAGTCTCTTCAGAAAATTTTGACTAAGCCGCTCAAATCATTAATTCATTTTACGATGTCTTTATGAACTTTATGAACAAAGTGGTAGTTGCATAGACTGTCAAAGGAGGGACAGAAATCTCTCAGATTACATTAAAAACTTCTTCATTTGTGTTCTGAAGATGAACGAAATACTTACAGCTTTGGAACAACATGAGGGTGAGTAATTAATGACAGAATTGTCATGGGTGAACTAACCCTTTAATGCATTTTATATATATACATAGTATATCCTGTTTTCTGTATGGATGTTTAAAGGCATGCAAAACCTTTGGTGTTAATATCCCAAAAGTTTTCAATTCATACCACTGTTGTAAAGTTGAGCTCGTAATCCTCTGTCCCTGCTGGTCAGGTTCATTTCTGGGCTCATCCAGAGCGTAAAAATCGAGGCATTTGAGCGAATGCTTTGGAGAGTGTGTAAGGGCTACACCATCCTCAGCTACTCTGAAGTAGACGAGCTTCTGGGTGACCCTGATTCGGTGAGACCAGTTGACATTTGTTTATAACATCAAATCTTTTTGGTAACACAAATGCATGCTTGCTTCAGTTTATAGCTATCAGGTTTTTTGTGATGGTCTGTTCTCTGTCTGGTTTGTCAGGGGGAGCCAACCAGGAATGTGGTCTTCCTTATCTCCTACTGGGGAGATCAGATTGGACAGAAAGTTAAGAAGATATGTGACTGGTAACTTGGTTTTTAAATTAAATTAATATATTCTACTTTTACTTAGTGATTCTGTTAATCAGTCTGGTTTAAAGAACTTTATTTGTTGAGCTACCATATATCTGCTGCATTTAACCACGACACACTAACTGATTGCGCCACTGAGACAGACAGGGAGCTGCTGCTGTTTATAAAGATTTATAAGTCTTGTTCCCTGTTACATTTAGGGGAAGCTTCATGACTTTCATTTCTTAAATTTATTTGAATTCTTTCTGAGTATTTTTATTCTTTTATAGAAAGTGGAAGTGCTGTAGTTTTAAAAAGATTGTTTTTTTGTTTCCATAGTTACCACTGTCACCTGTACCCGTACCCCAACAGTAACGAGGAGAGAACAGATGTGGTGGAGGGGCTTCGCACACGTATTCAGGACTTGCACACGGTGAGTCAGGATGAGCTTGTCTTCTCACTTGTTAAAGTTTATGAGACACACATTTTGTGTGGAACACGAATGAAGAGTGTAAGTGTGATCTCACTAGTCATTTACTGGCTGGTCTTTCTTTTTTCCCTTTTTGAACAAAGACTTGAAAATGGTTGTAATTCGTGAATGCTTTGGAGTACAGACTCTTTTTGGTCTCTTTTTAAAGAAGACCCTCAGCACGTTTAAGTGAATGCACTTAAAAAAATGAAAGTGTAAAAAGAGTTATGGACTTTACAGTAAAACAAATGGACTGTACTAAACATTTTTTATTTTATAAAAAATATACATATTACAAAATAATTTTTACTCTAAAATGGCTATAAAATCAAAGCCATATGTCTAACCAAGTTGTGTTCCAAATTTGAAGTTGAGATCACAAAAATTGAAGTTCCTATGAGATTTTGTTTAGGCGCTATACCAAATATAGCCAATGGGTGACACCCGCAATCCATTGAATTTTTTAATGTATTCTTAATAAATTTTTCACAATATCACTTCTATCCAAAAACACTCGCCAAATATGGAAGATTGAGTCTCAGTCCTTTCCGACGATATGTTTTGTCAAGGTTAGAATTTTTTTTATTATAAAATAGTTAAAAACGAATTGTGTAATATGAAACCCAACATCACCCACTAGGGGAAGGAGCCCGCTAAAATTTAAAGTACAGTTTCCGTGGTAACGCAACATCCGATTTCAAAAGGTTGAATTTATGATGATTACTAAAATATGTGATTGGGGGAAAAAGGCAATAAAAGAGACTTTGGCTTAGGCAATTCAGAATGACCAAACGATGCGATGCCATTGGTCCGCTGGCTAGTCCAGTTATCCAATCATTTCCAATGTTGAGGCAAAGTCACGTGAGTTTTTTTGTTGTGCATTGAGGGATTTATTCGGTAAATGTGTTCGCATAATAGTTTATGCTCATGTCTTCTTATCGGATAAAAAATGTATCCGCCTCAATTAAGCGCATACGTTTTTTTATACACATTTAAATTCTAAAAATGCGCATCAACAGCGGATAAAATGCGAATTAACCAGCAGACCAATTACATCACACAGAATCTCAAATGTTGGTCATTCTGAAATGCCTGAGCCAAAGTCTGTCATCAGAATTATTTGGTTTAATGACCTCCCAGAACCGTCATGATTGCATTCCCAAACACCTGGCATCCAAACGCAAGATAACATGACAGCATTTATTGCGTTTCATCTGCGTGCTCTGAGACGCAAGTCATTTATAACGTAGGAAAAAAGAGCCACAGTGGCTTCCCTGATAGATGGACGGAAACATAGCTATTGAAAGTCAATGAAAATGTAGTGCAGTGGAAGGAAAAAAACAAGTTCTGTGTGAATGGCCCTTAGAATGTTACAACTAGATGCTTGGCAACAAACACGTGCCTCGTATTCAGATGCTTTAGACAGTTACTGAAACACCATGTCCGTATCAATAGTCATTTCAGTGTTTGTTGGTGTTTGGGATATTGTCAAATGGTGATGGAAAACGTGACAATGGGCTAGTTGCATATGGCCGCATGTTGGATTTCCGATCTAGTGAGTATTTGCACGACGCCAGTGCAGAGAGACGGAGAAAGCTGAAAATTAACTTTTATAGTTGTTTATAAAATCCGTTATATCACTTAAAATACAACAAAGATCTATATTACTATTACATGAGCCAATTGCATTTAAAAAGCACACATGTATGAGTCAGGTGAATGAGAGAAAATTTACTTGGACTTGCATCCAATTATGCCTACTGTAAATATACAAATATGTAAATATAACTAAATTTGAAAATAAAATATAGCAAAACATTTTGTGTAAAAACAAGGTAAGATTATACTCATCAGTTAGCATCCACTCCCAACAAGAATGCAATGGAATTTTGCAGCCTACCTGGATCAGAACAATATGTTTTGTGCTTCCCTGAGAACAGACTAATCAAATGAAGGCTTACAACTACAGGAAAAACCATGATTAGAGAGTTGCTTGCCTAAAATATCCTGTAAACATTCACTCCTTTGCCCTGTGAGACACAGACTATCATTTATCTTCATAAATACTATTTTCTCAGTTCTGTTCATATTTTCACTTGCCTACATCAACTTGCTTCATCAATATTTTCACCACATATTTTACATTTACACCCTGTTCTCTTTGCATCAACTATCTTTTTAGATAAAAACAAGGGCTGTAAAAGGGTAGTCTTAATAAATAGTTGTGATTAATTTAGATTTCTTTAACTGTAGTTAACACAAAATAAGAGTTGTGTGTATATTTTACTCGTAGTAAAATATATTGAATGTGCTGCTTATAGATACCAGACAGACAATGATTTATGCAACAGATGCTCTTTACGCATCTCACTTGCACAAAAATAATTAAATTACTAAATAATGCAGTTAGCAATAATAATGCTACCAAACAAAGTTACTAAACCATACACTTGAGTCCACATTGTATTATCATACTTATTTATAGATATATTTATATCAGGTTAGTTTCAAAGGCATTTAAGTTTGCTTGTGACTGCTCTGTAAGAGAAAGAAAGAAGATTGTGTTAGTGGCCCAGCTAAGCACATGATATTCATGAGGTCTAGGCAAGTCTCCACTAGCGAATCATGTGTATTTGATACTCTCAACACACACTGTTCCTTTCAGGTTCCTGTTCAAGTGTCATAAACAGGACAAAATATAGGAAAACCTATGAAAATGAAAAGGCTCGCCCAGTCAATCAAGAAAAGGCTGTTTCTGTGCTTAAAATGTTTCTCGATTGATTGAAGATCAGCAGGGCAAAATGCTTTTAGGTTCATCTGAGCGCACCGTTCAGAAACCAGGGCAATAAATGCCATGTGTGGCTGCTCGTGTCACGTGTCATTGACCTTCTGGAAAATACACACATCCTATAGACCTAGTTATTAATACTTCTAGAACAGCGGTTTTCTACCTGTATATATCTTTTCTCTTATAGTTATGACAAAGTTGCTTGTTTTCATCTTATTTTTAGCACATTAACACTCTTATGTTGCGTTGTTGAAATGCTTTTGGTGGTTTCTTCATAGGTTCTTTACCGCACTGAGGATTACCTGAGGCAGGTGTTGATCAAGGCCTCAGAGTCTGTGTACATTTGGGTAATCCAGGTTAAGAAAATGAAGGCCATATACCACATCCTCAACCTCTGCAGTTTCGATGTCACAAACAAGTGCCACATAGCTGAGGGGTGGTGTCCTGTAAACGATCTGCCTGCTCTTCGGAGAGCGCTAGATGATGGATCGGTAAGCAACCTGACATTATTTTAGGTGGCGCATTAATTCAAATACATCTGATTGATTTGTGTGCACATATCCTTAACTCTGCTGTGCTATTTTTGTTGTTTCATCAGAGGAAGAGTGGAGCCACAGTTCCGTCATTTGTCAATCGTATCCCAAGCAGTGACACTCCACCGACCCTCATACGCACCAACAAGTTTACCTCAGGCTTTCAGAATATAGTGGACGCTTACGGCGTGGGCAGCTACAGAGAGGTCAACCCAGGTGAGAGGGCAGCTGTTCAAAAGACAATAAGGGGACATTTTTTTTACATCCTCAATCATATATGCATGTCCCCATTTTACATGTCCTCAATTCTTCATACATATAGATGCTTAGATAAGATGTGAATGCTTTTTTTATCACACCTCACAGCTCCATATACAATCATTACCTTTCCCTTCCTGTTTGCCGTGATGTTTGGAGACCTCGGGCACGGCATCATCATGGCACTGTTTGCTCTGTGGATGGTTCTCTATGAGAATGACCGCAAACTGAAGAGAACCAGGAATGAGGTGCATTCAGCTTGCTGTTTTGACATGGCTGTATTTGCCTACAACCGAGCATTAACTTTCTTCTCTCATTCATTTAGATGTGGTTTTTAAAAAGAAAGCGAACGCTAAGACATTATTTAGCCTTAGCAATAGTTTACTGTTTATGTTTCTGTTAACTGCATTACAGTTTTATTAACATTGTATTCATTTGTTTAGATCTTGAACATTTTTTTCGAGGGCCGCTACATCATCCTGTTGATGGGCATATTTTCAGTCTACACCGGATTAATATACAATGACTGCTTCTCCAAATCACTCAACCTGTTCGGCTCGGGATGGAATGTCAGTGCCATGTTCAAACATGGAGACTGGAAGTGAGTGTTCAAAGCACAGAATACAGTGTACTGCATCCTTATATATATATATATATATATATATATATATTAGTGGTGGGCATAGATACATTTTTTTATCTAGATTAATCTCACTGTAATCTTGGAATTAATCTAGATTAAAATGGCTCATTTGAATTCTGCCGAAGGCATTCTGAATGTGTGCTACCCAAATAAATAACCTCGCAGGTAGTTTGTAAGATGGGCAGGGGCGGAGCTAGACTCTCAGTACAGTGGGGGCGGAGCTTCATCATGGGGCCCTCTGCTACCAAGTCATTTTAAAATTAAAACCGTAAAATATCTGATGAATGCATATGTAATAATGTGTCAATTGTTGAGCCAAGTAAGCTTATGTTAAATAAAACACAAAGACTTTCTCGTTCTTTTCTTTTTAATGCGCCCGATTTATATTTTCTCTCCATTTTCGTAACTATTCTCTACATTATACATTCGCACCTCACGCCACCCACTGTACTCCTGAGGCAAGTAGGCCTACCTTATACGCTGTTTTGTTTCATTTATGACTCACAAGACGAGCTACAGTTCACGCGCCGGCGCCTCCGTGTCGTGATTATCTATTGTCTGTAGGGGTGGAACGGTACATATATTCGTATCGAACCGAAACGGTACGGGCGTCACGGTTCGGTGCACGAATTTACACGGAGAATACACGGTATAAAATTAGTTAATGTAATGCGGAACTACTGTTAGATACGCGGGTTCTTTAGGGACACATAATCTGTAGCATCGGCTTAGCTCTGAACGCGCGTTCACTCAAACGTTGGCTTTATACGCGCGTCCTATTTGCTTTGGACTAGCGTCGAACTAGACGCGAATTTGACGCTCTATTCGCGTTTGGTGTGACCGTGACCGCATAATGAACAGGCTGAGAGAGAGAGAGAGAGAGAGAGAGAGAGAGAGAGAGAGAGAGAGAGAGAGAGAGAGAGAGAGAGAGAGAGAGAGAGAGAGAGAGAGAGAGAGAGAGAGAGAGAGAGAGAGAGAGAGAGAGAGAGAGAGAGAGAGAGAGAGAGAGAGAGAGAGAGAGAGAGAGAGAGAGAGAGAGAGAGAGAGAGAGAGAGAGAGAGAGAGAGAGAGAGAGAGAGAGATAGGCCTACTCCGTCATTTTGTTCATACAGATCATTAAACCTGCAAAGTGTTTACTTATATTTGTGTACACTCGCAATAAAACACAACATTGTGCTTTTGTCACACTGTAACCTACAACTGTCACCCAACCAAAATCACACACACACACTGTTTTAAAAGCAAAACATATTTATCCAACTCCATTTCAAAACAGTCTGTGCAGTGGGTCCCATCTTTTGGACATTTGTCATATTGCATTGGTTTCCATTTCTTGTCCTCGGAGCACTAATCTTACACATTCTACATTCATTAAAAAAAGAAACTTTAATGTTTTTAATGGTAGTATTATTTTATACATGCAGAAATCAATTATTTATAATTCAGATGAGAATAATGTTACATTGTCAATTCATAATGTTAATTAAAATTAAGGAAAACAAATATATTGATCTGAAATATAGCAAAATAATTTTAAATTAATAGTACAATTACCAAACATATTGCAAGGTCTTTTTGTCTTTTTATTAATTTAATTAATAAACTAATTATATAAAACTATTGTCAGTGCATAAACTGGTTCTATGCCTTTTTTAATAAAACTTATTTTAAAAATACAATGCCTTCTGCATTTTTGTTTTGCTTTTCCCTCCATTGTACCGAAATCGTACCGAACCGTGATGTCTGAACCGAGGTATGAACCGAACCGTGACTTCTGTGTACCGTTCCACCCCTAATTGTCTGCTATATTTACTTCTTATTTATTAAATCCAGGCAATTGGTTGATGAAACATTGATTAAAATTAAGATACAATTAATATAAAACGAAATTAATCTTAATGAAAGGCTTTGTGCTTTATGTTTGATGTCTCTGGGAAAGTTTTAAAGCAGTCTTTCAGTGCCGCTTTCAGAGCGGTCACGTCCGTAACGGGGAACTGTCACGTAACATTGTTTTTCCCTCATAAATGCGTACACGAAAAATACGACAAAATTAATATTTTATGTTCTGTGGATAGCCAACCCTTCTTCATCCGGTGGGTAGTATTACTTTTTGAACTTTTGCCACCTAAAAGTTCAAGTTTTTTTGTCACGTCCGTTACGGATGTGTATTTCCCTCATATTAAATATAAAACGCATAGACTGATATTTTTCTAATGTCTGGACTCCTTTATTAAGGGAGTATGGATATATATTGGTATTCGTTTCAATATATCGTTTCAATATATTGGTATTAAATGCCCCCTACAGTGCAATTCGGCTAGCTATACATCTGCACTAAAATATCAAGGTGAAAGTCATCATAGCTTGCGTAGTATAGACCCAGCTCCCAACCCAACTTTGAGAATAGATTAACGGCGATATTTTTTTTATCGGCCGATAAGAGTCTCATGTTAACGCAGCACGTTAACGCCGATAACGGCCCACCACTAATATATATATATATACTGTATATATATATATATATATATATTAGGGGTGTAACGGTTCACAAAATTCACGGTTCGGTTCGATACGATACACTTGTGTCACGGTTCGGTTCGGTACGATTCGGTACGTTTCCGATACAGCAAAAAGAAAGAAATGCCAGAGAAATTTCCTTGATTTAATCTTTTTAATTATATTTTTATTAAAACTAACATCATAAAGTATGATATTTTTTAACTTTGAGCAATGATGGAGCTATACTTGACTTTTCTTAGGAGCTTATAAAACAAAACAGCTCCTTGGACAAAATTAAATGTAATATTGTAGTAGTTATAAACAAAGGTTTATTTTAGTTCAGATTAACATTTGAGGGCAGCAATTGTATTCATAATGTCAAAATAAAACCGACGTGATGTTACTTGAAAGCATTATAGCCTACTATTCCTGCCAAATTTCCATGGTTACAGTTAGTAGTGTTACTACAGTAAACCCATGGTGAATGTGCTGATCTGTGGACACTGGATAGTTCATTCATGGCACAATGTTTCTTCCTGGTTTCCACGTCAGCGCTGTTTGATCCGTTAATAACGGAGAAATGTGAATGTTTCTCACTAGATCTCGCAGCGATGTTATTACTTCAGTGGCGAATTCAAATGCTTTGTTTACTGGATTTGGCTGTGTAGTAACAGTGCTGATGATTAAGATCGGCTCGCGCTGTATTTGTCCAAACTGATAAACGGTCCTTCAACCACACAATAACGAGTGGTTTCGTTCCGCTTACATTACATTTGCCATTTGATGTTGGGCAATGTTGTGGTCACGCACATTATGAGCGCGCTTGCCACGCGTGACGCGCCTTCATTTGAAATAACGAAATTTTGGTCGGCAGGAAAAATGGTCCAACGAACCGTTCGGTTCAAAAATGCGTACCGAAAACCGAACCGAAAGCCTCGTACCGAACGGTTCAATACGAATACGTGTATCGTTACACCCCTAATATATATATATATATATATAAAACAGTCATGGTCACAATTATTGGCACCCTTAGTAAATATGAACATAGAAGCCTGTAAAAAAAATTTGTTAATAAACATTGTTAATCCTTTTAATATTTAATTAAATTCATAAAAAATCTAACCTTTCATTGAAGTAAAACAATTGAACATGTGAGAAATCTCTTTATGAAATGTTTTTCTCCAATATCTGTTGGCCACAATTAATGGCACCCTTTTATTCAATACTTTTTGCAACCTCCTTTTGCCAAGATAACAGCTCTATAATGCCTGATTAGTTTGGAGAACACCTGACAAGAGATTAGAGTCCATTCCTCCATACAGAATCTCTCCAGATCCTTCAGATTCCCAGATCCATGTTGGTGCTTCTCTTCAGTTCACCCCACTCATTTTCAACAGGGTTCAGGTCTGGGGACTGGGATGGTCATGGCAGAAGCTTCATTTTGTGCTCAGTGACACATTTTTGTGTTGATTTTGATGTTTGATTTGGATCGCTGTCCTGATGGCTGTCAGCCATCCAACTGGGCTGGGATCCAACCCACGGCCCATAATAAGATTTCTAGCAGAAACGGTCAGGTTTAGATTTATCTGTTGGTATTTGCTAGAATCCATGATACCATGTATCTGAACAAGAAGTCCAGGACCTCCGGCAGAAAAACAGGCCCAACCGTGGACATGGGGTACTTTTTATCCCTGTTTGCACCAAACCCATCTGGTGGGTTTGCTGCCAAAAAGCTCATTTTTAGTTTCATCTGACCACAGAACCCGGTCCCTTTTAAGTTCTAGTCGTGTCTGACGACTGAATATGCTGGAGTTTGTTTTTGGATGAGAAAGGAGGATTTTTCTTGGAACCTTCCCAAACAACATGTGGTGATGTAGGGGTTGTTTTAATTTCTGACCCCAAGAATGAATGAATGAATGAATGAATGAGGCATTTATATAGCGCTTTCATATGTACTACTGTACACCCAAAGCGCTTTACAATCATATCAGGGGTTCTCTCCTCAACCAGCACCAGACTTAACTAATCTCTGCAATTCTCCATCTGTGATCCCTGGAGAGTCTTTGGCCACTCAAACTCTCCTCCTCACCTTACATTAAGACAATATAGACACATGTCCTCTTCCAGGCAGATTCATAACATCTTTAGTTTATTGAAACTTCTTAATTATTGCCCTGATGGTGGAAATGGGAATTTGTAGTGCTCTTGCTGTTGTCTTGCAGCCACTTTCTATTTTGTGAAGCTCAACAATCTTTTGCTGCAGAACTATATTCTTTTGTTTTACTCATTGTGATGGATGATTAAGGGAATTCTGTGTTTTCTCATATTTATAATGCTGTGAAACAAGTCATGGCTGGACAATTTCATGTTTCTAGTCACCCTGGTTTGCTAAAATTGTTTAAATATGAATGCGAATGTACTTAAGTATTTTACTCATAAGAATGTATAGGGGTGTCAATAATTGTGGTTATTTCATAACGTGCCAATAAGGTACCAATGGTGCCAATAATTCTGACCATGACTGTCTACACACACAGTAGGCAGTGTGCAACAAATGTTTTAAAATGTAGTATGCTAAATATCTTATCTATCTAGTAATTGTTTTAAAATGTAGGTACAACTTTCCATGATTCCACAGAGATGAAATATGGGCTTCACTAAAGCTAATTCAATTGATCAGCTACTTTTACAGCCAGTTTTTATCCTGACATCTTAATCCAAGTACACAAATAGGGGGAGGCAACAATGATTTTGAGTCTCATTATGCTGTTTTGTGCTGGATACACTACCATTCAAAATGTTGGGGTTCGTAAGATTTTTTTTTTTTTTTTTTTTTTAAAGAATTTAATAGATAATATATGTAACAAGGACACATTAAATTGCTATATTATATCCAAGAATCCTGAAAACACATGTATGTGCATATTAGAACAATTTATGAAGAATCATGTGACACTGAAGACTGGAGTAATTGCTGCCAAAAATTCAGATTTGACATCACAGGAATAAATTACATTTTAAAATATATTCAATATACTATTTTAAATTGTAATAATATTTCGCAATATTACAGTTTTTACTGTATATTTATCAAATAATTGCAGCATTGGTGAGCAAAGGAGACATCTTTCAAAAACATTCCAAAATGTTACTGACCCCAGATTTATGAATGGTAGTGTAATCCCTGCAATCATATACCTGATGAAATCAATAAATGGTAAATAAATTTGAAATTTTTACAAGACATCCATAAATGCTGACAGCTAAATTTGGAGCCTTGCGCTGGTGGAGATGATGCAGATGATGCAATGCAATTTTATTTGTAGGGAACATCAGATTTCTCGTCTACAGTATGTGGCTCTAATGTGCTCTCTTTTTCCCCCCCTCTTCCTAAGTTTGAGCACTGTCAGCTCAAATCGCTTACTTGCACTGAATCCAAACATCACAGGAGTCTTTAAAGGGCCATATCCTGTGGGAATAGACCCGGTAGGTCTCTGACTTCATTTTATTACTATGTAATCAAAACAAATGAATCAATTTGCTATCACCTATAAAAACAAGTGTAACGGAGGGTGAAAGTCTATGGTTTGTATATAGCATAGATTATATGTTTGATATTGTGTATCCACTGGGGTGGAATATCAATGTACAATATACACACAAGGCACCATACAGATTCTCACAAGTACTTACCAGTGAACGACACAGTGCTAGTTAAAATATACATAAATGACACCATAATATGAACTGAAATGCAGGAGTGCTGCAACTTAATCTAGGATATTGCCACAATGCGCGATTAGGAATGTATGCATGGCACTTTACTTAAAATCTTAATTGGTTTTCTGCGTGAATGAAAAGCTATGAGTTTATAATCTTGATGAAATGTATAATTATTTTTCATTTAATAATAGTTTATTTGCACTCTCTGTAGATCTGGAACCTGGCATCAAACCGTCTCACCTTCCTGAACTCCTATAAGATGAAGATGTCTGTGATTGTAGGAATAATCCACATGACTTTTGGAGTCGTCCTTGGCGTTTTCAATCACCTGTGGGATATTTGAAAAGCTATTTTCAATAGATCTATGTTAAATGTTGCGACTTTGATCCTTCTAATGCTAAATATGCTCTTCTGTTCAGGCACTTCAGACGGACATATAATCTGTACCTGATATTTATTCCTGAGCTTCTCTTCCTGCTGTGTCTCTTCGGCTATCTGGTCTTCATGATCGTCTATAAGTGGCTGTTTTTCACAGTCCGAGACTCTCAGACAGCTCCCAGCATCCTCATCCACTTTATCAACATGTTCCTGATGCAGGGGGACTCTAACCGACCTCTTTTCCCGGGACAGGTTAGACTCAAAGAACCAGATGTGCAGCCATTCCAATTTTACATGCTAAAAAGATCGGTTTCGTTTTATTTACTTTCCCTCTTTCCCATAGGCCGGGCTTCAAGTGTTCCTGGTGATTGTGGCCGTGTTCTCTGTGCCTGTGTTATTATTGGGAAAACCTCTCTACCTCTACTGGCAACACAAGGGCAGAGACCGCCTGAACATGTACAGGGTGAGGATCCTCTTTTTGTGCGTGTGTTCTCCAGTTAGCTGAAGCCTGTTGGCTCATGTTCTCTTTTTCTCTCTCTCTGTAGGGGTATCAGCGTGTACGACGGAACAGTGAGGAGGAGCTCTCTCTCATGCAAGTTCATGATATGGAGGAAGGCAGCAGTCTGGACAGCCACTCCTCCAGCTCTGACAGCCAATCAGAGGAGGTGAGACATTCAGAACCAACCAGTTCAGTACAGCGTTTGGTGTGAATAAACAACTTTCCCTATGAGCCTAAGAATGTTTCCTTTCTTCTACAGCTTGATTTTGCAGATCTGTTCCTCAATCAGTCCATCCACACTATAGAGTACTGTCTGGGCTGCATCTCTAACACTGCGTCTTACCTCCGCCTGTGGGCTCTCAGCCTGGCACATGCCCGTGAGTAACATATCCATAAATGACCGGTACATTTTGTGCTAAAAAAATGAAAATTTCCCCTTAAACAACTTTTGTTTTTATTAAAGAACATACATTTATTTATTACCCATGTATTACTTACCTTCATGTCGTTCCAAACTCGTAAGACATTCATTCATCTTTGGAACACAGATGAAGATCTTTTTTAATGAAATCTGAGAGCTTTCTGTCTCTCCATTGACAGCCTATGCAACTGACACTTTCAAGCCCCAGAAAGGTGGTAAAGACATCATAAATGTAATCCACGTGACTCCCTCTTTATTTACAAAATGTTTATAGCCAACTGGAGTCACGTGGATCCCTTTTGTGATCTTTCTGGGGCTTGAAAGTGTCAGTTGCATAGGCTGTCAATGGAGGGACAGAAAGCTCTCAGATTTCATTAAAAAAGATCTTCATCTATGTTCCAAAGATGAATGGATGTCTTACGAGTTTGGAACGGCATGAGGGGGAGTAATAAATGACAGAATTTTGGGTGAACTAACCATTTAAGTTAAATGGGTAGCGAACCTCTGGTCTAGACTCAAACATCCAAAATACTTACCATTTGTGACAGCCAGTCAAGTGCAAATTGGCCATAAAAATGGCTAGAATATGGTCCATTTAAAATAAAAGAATGCTAAACTTGTTTTGTTTTGATCCAGAGCTCTCTGAAGTATTGTGGGCGATGGTGATGCGGGACGGCCTACGTGTGGACACCAGTTGGGGTGTTGTGCTCCTGGTGCCTGCTTTTGGTCTGTTTGCTGTCCTCACTGTGTCCATCCTGCTGGTGATGGAGGGACTTTCAGCCTTCCTTCATGCTCTCAGACTCCACTGGTCAGTACAACACCTCAAATATACACCACTATCACCAAAACCATGTATTATTGTAGTCCATCGCGCTCAGGCGAGATTTAGACATCAGTATTCAGCAATCACATCAAAGTTAGTTGCTGAACTCAAATGATTCAATTGGAAATGAACTCTTTCTCCTCAGGGTGGAGTTTCAAAATAAGTTCTACAGCGGCGCTGGCGTCAAGTTTGTACCGTTTGCCTTCTCTCTCATGCACAGCAGCTTTGAAAACGAAGGGCTGTTATGAATTGCGGGACGCTAAAGACAAGACCTGAGCGGATCTGTGAGCTTAATTTTTAACAGATTTATATACAGTGATGTTGCACTACATGCCAAACTGGCCCAACCAAATACTCTTTCCGTATTATATATATGTTCCATATCAGCATTGGCACACTGAGCCACATCAGATGCTCTGCTGCAACCATCAACTCAAACACTGAGGTAAAGCAAAGACAAAGTCTCTGGACTGTAAATAGGACTCTTGAGTGCTTTAGATCTCTTGAATGTATTGTCAGCTCTTCACAAAAGTGCAGTTTTGGAATATCATTTTTCTACCATGTTGCCTGTTGGCTGTGCAGAGATGCTCATTTCTCCATAGCTGAGCACATTCCTTGAGTGACATTAGGATTTCATTTTCATCCTGCTTTTTTCATCCTCCAGTGTTGAAACATGATTCTGGCTCATGAAGGTCATTGATCTAGTGCTGTGAAGATCAGAGAGCTTCATAAGGCTGTGTTCGAATCAAATACTTCTGCAGATGATCTTCTTGGTGGTTGAAAAATCCCTACTTAGCCCACAGGAGGCTCTGATATGTCTAAGTGCCAAACGTGTTGAAACTATTCAAATGGGTGGTGGATTAAATTTTTCAGTTCAAGTCATTTAGAATTTATTCATTTAATGAAATACATTGTATCATCTGTGTTGCTGTTCAGGGCAAAGCTTAAAGTCCGAGAGTTGTCAGTCGTTTAATTTTAATTGTATCGTAAATGGAGATGTTTTAGTGTTTTAACCGTCATAGATCTGTTCAATTATTCTGTTCTGACTCTTCAGAACACTACAGAACAGGTTTTTTTTTATCTCAATTTAATGTGACACTTTGGTGAGCCACTGAATTCATTCCAAATTCTTTTTTTTTTTTTTATGTACTAATCATACTCATTTTGATTTCTATCTTTCATTTGAAGATTCTGTGCTTAGGTAACTTACATTCCATATTTTGCACAGAAGCTCAATATTTAACATTACACAATAAAAAAAATAAACCTGTGAAGATTGATTGATGCAATGTCTTTTGGTCTCAAAAGCTTTTCACAGTGCCATCTGAAGAGTTTCTGTTGTTTGTAAGACTTTCATTTAACATCACTTTATTTATTCCTAATTATTGAATTCATAAACGATTACTTGTAATTTAGCACTTTTTTATGTCATTCAGCACGTTAATAGTAGGACTAGTCCTTCAGTGTCCTACTAGTTTAATCTTTTGGTAGTTCTCCAGTTGATGATTCATCCAAAGCAGAAAGTACACTCTTTTTATTACCACATCTTGAACCGGTGAACCATGCGAAAAAGATTTAAGCTGATTTTACTTTGTGTTCAGAGGTCAGAGAATCTCTAGAACAGCCTAGCTGGTGATGAAAAATGTCTCTTGTGGCTCATTAGTTCCCAAAACACAGACTGAACCAGGGTTCAATTAAAAGTCTAAACTCACCATATCCCCTTCATTCATTCTGCATGATACTAAAACATTCCTAGCAAATGTATACAGACATAAAAAGTGCCTGCCAGTATGCAAGTCAGTGTGCTTTAATAGAAAATATTAACATTTATAATAAATACCGGTACATTGACTACTTGTCAAAAATCAAATTTTGACTAGCTGGATAAGTTTAGATTAAAAGAGTAAACATCTCAGTTAAAATTCAGATTTTTACCAAAACAGCATTTATTGGGATGGCATGGCATCATTACTTTTGTATCCTTCATAATAGCAGTATTAGTATTAATAATATGGTTATCACAAAATACATATAGTGGCGTGAGCCTAATTCTACATTCTTGCCAGCGATCAGAAATAAAGTGACAACTGATCTCCAGTGATGTCAGGTCTTGAAGACTTTCTCAAGATGAAAAAAATATATACTTTCTTTTTTATTCTGCGAGTCTAACTGAAGTTATACAACTTTGCAATAGAAATATCTGCAAAACGGAAATTTGTCACTCCTGAGTCCTAATGAAGATTTATAACCTCAATAAGAAATTGAATTTTGTGTTACAGGGACACTAAAATTACCAGTTCAAAAAGATGATAATATGCAACGTGCTGCTTTCCTCCATCACCACATTGTAATGTGAAATATAGCGGCCCTCTTCTTCAGGAACCTTTGGGCATGTTTTAAACTACTATCTCTACTAATAAATACAAGCATATTATAAACACAAAACTTCACTTGTGTTTTCAGTATCACACTTTGTTCTGTGAATGGATATTTGTTTGCCATGTCCTCTGAGAAAGTCAAGCAGGGTGACTTGTTTGCTTTTATTGGTTGATTGTTCATTCATTCATTAAGTATCCTGATTGTACAAAAAAAGGATTTTTAATTTTTATTGCTAATATGTACGGAAGCATATTGCATTCACTTGAGGAACAAACAAAAAAATCTACTCTGTTTTTCTGAATTAACGAGTTAATTATCTCAGACTTACGAGATGATTTTTCATGGAAAAAAGTTTTTGCTCTGTTTTTCTGAATTAACAAGTTAATTATCTCAGAATTATGAGATTCATTCATTCATAAAAACAGAGTAACAATGTGTCACTCATAATTTTGAGATAATTAAGTCATTAATTCAGAAAAACAGAGCAAAAACTTTTTTCCATGAAAAATTCTCTCATAATTCTGAGATGATAACTCGTTAATTCAGAAAAACATCGTTTTTTTCCCTCAAGTGAATGCAATACGCTTCCGTAAATATGCACTGTACTGTGGCTGTCACAGTAACATGAAAACGTCCACTGGGGGCTCCACTGCAGCAATGCAGGAAGCAGCTAATTAATGTGCATGACAATTCAGGAGTGTAAAACATGTCTGTCAGAATACTTGCACTGCCCAATACAACAGACTCAAGGGCTCTTTTAATGCTTGTCTGAAGCTCATTGGCTAACTGAAGACATGACATGAATCTTATCTGTCACTAGCTATGCAAAGTGGGCGGAGCCGGGAGAAAGTCTTCAGCTGAGTGTCCAATAAAAGAGCCCAATGAGCCCTCTTGTAATTCTCTGGGATATGCAAATAAAAGAGTTTCCTTTGTCCAAATATGGTATTGTTGATAAGAAATTTAAAGTAGTGAACAATCAGATAATTCACATAAATGTTGCAGATGTGTTGTGTTGATTCTCCTCCATATGTAAGTTTCTTCATGTTTTGTCCTGGCCAGCAGAGGAGGGGGAGGAGTGTCTTTGATATGAGCTCATTCTAAACAAGACTCAGAGCATTATACTTCACTGTAAGAGATGTTGGGAAGAGAGGAAAGTGCATTTGTGATAGGGTTGTTCTGAATAAAAAGAACCTGATTTGCTTTGGAAGATAAACTGGGGTGGCACTTGGCTAGAAGAGTTCAACTGCACATTTCTCCCACACACTCATCTTTGAGATGAACATCAGAGTCCGTTTAAGAGTCAGGCAAAGATATATGTCATTGGGCCGCAAACACACACACTCACACTGAACACACACACTCAAACACACACGCAAGTGTTGACGACCTGTCTCCACAACCTCTGCAGTCCCAAGAGGTAAGTCCATGTAGAGGGTTTATTCCCCCTCTGCAGAGTTAGTCAAGTGTTTTGTGGGTTCAGAAGATCACAGGACACATATTCCAGTCCTGTCTGTCTTTGGCCTCCCAGTAACCCCCCTTATAAACAAAACTAGTCTCTCCTGTCATTTCATCCGTCCTCTGTTGGAACCACAGCGGCCTGTAGCACTCAAAGTCTCGTCCTGGAACACAAAACAACAATAAAATCATCAGAGGAACAGCCTAAGATCAGCCAACTGGGACTGTTCTGACTAAACTGTTGTGGTAGATAACTGGAATTTGTATTTAAATGGTATAGTATAGGTGTTTGAGGTATGAAACCCAACAAAATGTCACAGGGACGTGACTGTCCTGCGTGACCTTTGACCTCCCCTCACCTTCATCTATGGCATCGGTTGCCTCAGCATCTCTCCTCCTCCTCGTTGCTCTCTGCTTCTCCTCTAGCCTTTGTTTCTCTGCGTTGGCCTCATCCCAGCGTCCCGCTTCCATCAGCCGCTGGTCTGGCCTCAGCCTGCTGTCCGTCAAACAGACACCCTCTTCTTCCTCGTTCAGGGTCAAAGCCAGAGAGGAGAAATGGTACATGTTCTCAGCATTCTCTCTGTGTGATGGTGATTGAGAGAGGAAAATGACAAACAAATTGAAACAAATGCAAAAAATCTGAGAATCTAATCTGTTGGGCAAGGCCTTACTACATCTTTAGTTAGTTCAGTAGTTAGTCTGGTGGGTAAGTAAGTGGTGAAGATGGTAGTTAGTTCTGCAGGTAGATAGATAGTTCTGCCGGTAGGTAGTTTAGCACTTAAGTAGTTAAGTAGCTTCCACTGCAACTACTAATTACCTGCCAAACTTACTACCCATAGGACTTAGTTTGATATGTAGGTTGGTCGATAGGTAGGGTTGTTGGTTGTTCAGTAGGCAGGTAGTTAGTTCAGTTGATTGGTAGGTAGTTTGGACTGTCGGTCAGTATGCAAGTAATTTACTGATCTAATATGGGAAATTGAATTGCATTACAAGCCAGACATTAATACTATACAGCCCACTGAACATGCATTTTGCCCTCTTGACTGTGTCATGCATTATTTGACGTGTCTTACGGTAGAGGGTATTTCTTCCACAGCAGTTTGGGGGTAAGAGTCTGATAGACCGTCTTCTGTTTGCCCTCAGAGCTGCTGCTTCCTCGGCTGCTCTGCACGATCTTGGCACTCTCCATCTTATCGTCCCATGTGCCTGACAGGATGTAGTGGGCCTGGCCGTCACTGTCCATCACCACCCCTGTGACCTTACAGTGGGAGAACAAGGAGAACAAGGGTAACAAGCTCTGGGGTTGAACTACAGAAGCTTGAAGAGATTGAGAGAGTAGGATAGAAAAGCAGGATAGAAAGATGATTTAGCTAAATTCAAACTGGTTCTTATCGGCTCTCAGTAAAACTCAAATATTAATCACAGGGAGAGGGACAGTACAAAGGACAGGGTAGACCATGGGTGTCCAAACTTGGTCCTAGAAACTGTCCTGCAGAGTTTAGCTCCAACTTGCCTAAAAGTGTCTGGTATGCCTAGTAAGACCTTGATGATCTGGTTCAGGTGTGTTTAACTTGGATTGGAGCTGGACTCTGCAGGACAGTGGCTCTTCAGGAGCAGGATTGGACACCCCCGGGGTAGACAATTTAAGTCCAAAACGTACCTTTCGTGGGACTTCCCTTGAAAAGTAACTGTAGGGAGAGAACTTGAGCTGACAGGTCTCTTTGGTCGTGTGGTTGACTATATCAATATCTCCTGACTAAAAGAAAAAATTAGATCAAAAGAGAGAAAGACTTCCCAGTGGTTCTCAAAATATGGGGGTCATGTGTTATCCTCAATAAAGTTTTTGTTATTGAACAGAAAAGTGTCTTAAAGCCAAAAAAATGTTTTACAATCAAAAACTTCATTGGCTGCATTGTTCAATTGCCAAATGGTTTTTTTGTCAGTTTTAGTAGTTTCAGAAGAGGACATCACAAAAAACTGAGAACCACTTTATTAGAAAAATACAAAAAAGTCAAACTAAAGTTCTCCTTGACATTGCTAGGCTTTAAACATTTGAAATAAACAACATAAACATCTGTTATCCAAAATGTGATTGTTTAATAATGTCAGAAGTTCAACCTGATCGATCCACAGTTTGCCCACGATGATGTTGTGGACGGTGGAGGTGACTTTACGCCACACGTAGTGGTTTCCACTCGCATGAAAGTGCAGGTGGATCGCACCTGATTAGAGAGAAAGTCAATGTATGTGTGAGTGTGTCTGCTAATCCAAATAAGGATGACAAGGATCCTGACAAGGATACAACACAGAGCAGATTGGAAGTTCATAATTCATCATTCTAACAATATGACATACAAGTCATATAAGAGTGTGACATTAAATTAAATCAACAAACAATGTGTGTGAATTTTGGGGTACTTATGTGAAAGAACCTTGTACGTGTGTAAATTTGTTTGTATGAAGAAAAGTGAAGTAAGACTTACCCAGAGGCATGATGGAGAGGTATTTGCCACGGAACTTGCTAGCGATGGTGATTTCCTGCCACAGGGTCCAGCCTCGCTGTGACATCACATGATGAGCGGCTGCCGGCGGATGATGACTGACCTAAGAGATTATAGGTAAATATCAGCCCAGCTGTAAATAAAATACACCACTAAGGGGCGCTGTCTCTTTATTCATTCAGACATTTGTGGACTTTCTATGGGTGATTCTGGTATTCTCACAGCCATCACTACTCTCAACACACTAAACCTTGCATGAGAAGCATCTCCAGTGATGGTTGACGGTGAGATGAAAATTACTGCTGTGACACTGTTGGCTCCTTAAGGATAAATTCCTCATTTCTTCTCTCATTGGTAAATTCCTCATTTATATGCTGCTTTGAATGAAAGTGTCAGCTAAATGAATAAACCCAATGAAATGTAAATGTAATTTTCATGATACCATGATTGACTTTGATGTTCCTTTTTGCATTTATCAACCGAAGACAGCATTCAAACTAAGTTTGGGGTCAGGTTTTTTTTTTTTTTTTTTTAAAGAAATTAATACTTTTATTCAGCAAGGATGCATTAAATTAATCAAATCTGACAGTAAATACTTTTGTAACAAAACAGATCTATTTTAAATAATTTCTGTTCTTTTGAACTTTCAATTCATCAAGAATCCTGAAAGAAATATGTATCACGTTTTCCACAAAAAAATTAAGCAGCACAACTGTTTTCAAAATGGATCAGCAGAATGATTTTTTAAGGATCATGTGACACTGAAGACTGGAGTAATGGCTGCTGAAAATTCAGATTTGCCATCACAGGAATAAATTATATTTTAAAATACATTAAAATAGACAGTTATTTTAAATTTGTAATAATATTTCATGTAATATTACTGTTTTCATTGTATTTTTGATCAAATAAATGCAGCCTTGGTGAGCATAAGAGACTTCTTTCAAAAACATTCAAAAAGCTTACCAACCCCAAACTTTTGAACACGTATGTCCTGTACTACCCAAATAACTGCAACTGAGATTAATGTAAATGCTAACAAATAGCTTTCCCCGTATATTACAGACCCTTTGACTCAAACACTGACCTGCTCACAAATGGAACGGTAGCCGAATTCCTCTAGGCGGTCCAGTTCGTAGGTCTCTCCCAGAAGAGGGTTGAAGGGCTTGGCCGTCCGATGCACTGTGGTGGAGTATGAGGAGACAGAGAAGGCTGCGACCAGACACATCTGCTCCAGAGAGTTCTCACAGCGCGCCGCCTTATCCAGCAGCTCGTAGTACTCCAAATCCTCCGTCAAGCGCTGCAGCATCGACAGGGGCTCGTTGAAGTTCACCTGGACACAGAGAGAGACAGAAAGAGACCTTGGCTGTGTCCCAATTCACATTCTTCAAGCCAGGGAGATGCTACTGTCACGAAATTGTGTCTTAATACCACAGATCCCTTTGACATGTTTGCATCTACCTAAATTTGAATCACTTTCCCTAAAGATTTGTATATTTAAAGTTGAGGTAGCTTTAGCTTTGTACGTTTTTTTGTAAATGTATTCATTTAAAACGTCTCTTCCATAGTGCAAGGGGTTGTAGGCAATATTAGCGTAAAAAAAACACACTGACGTTTAAAAGTTTGGGGCTGTTAAGATTTTTAAATGTTTTTAAAATAAGTCTCATATGCTCACCAAGGCTGCATTTATTTGATCGAAAATACAGTAAAATCTGTAATATTGTGAGATATTATTACAATTTAAAATAACGGATTTCTATATTTCTATATATTTTGAAAAGTACTTGATTCATATGCTGGCAAAGCTGAATTTTCAGCAGCCATTACTCCAGTCTTCAGTGTCACATGATCCTTCAGAAAACAAGTACCATTCCTTATTATTATCAATGTTGAAAACAGTTGAGCTGCTTAACCTTTTTTTTTGTGTGTGTGGAAATGTGTTACATTTTTTTCAGAATTTTTGATGAATAGAAAGTTCAAAATAACATCATTTATTTAAATGAGAAATCTTTACTGTCACTTTATATTAATAAAAGCATTTATTTATTTATTTTCAACTTTTGAATGGTAATTTTAGTACAAAAAGTATGTCATCTGGACACTTCCTAATGTTCTCAATGATCTGCAATGCACTGATTCTAATCTTGCATTTAGGAACATTTCTTCAATATGTGTGATATCACAAATGATGTCAAATTGTTTAAAAAACATATACACAAAGGAAAGTATCTGATTCAGTATGTGTATGCAACTTACAGGCATTGGGATCTTAGAGAGCTCTTTGCCAATGCAATTCTTCATGATGCTCCACAGATTGAGCGAATAGTTGGGCTTCTCTGGGATTTGGGTCCGCCTCTTCCTGTGAGGCTGCAACTCTTTCCCTGAAAAGTCATTACTGCACACAGAACACTAAAAAAAAAAGAAGAAGACAGAGAGACAAGAGTGTTTGCATTAAAAAAACATCAGAAATGTGTAATGTGTTTGTGTTGAAAGACATTATTTGATGGGCCGCATTGCCCTTGAGGAACATAAACACTGACTGATGCTCCATCTGTCTCAGAAAGTGAGTCACCAAGAGAGAGAAGAAAAGAGAGGAGGAGATATCAGTTAATTAAGAGTCGGTTAATTGAGACGAACAACAGCTGTGAGAGCCCGTGATGAACACAGACCGCCTGAGGAAACACTCACAGTCACACTGAGGGGCTGTTTACACTACACCGTTTTCAACTAAAAACAAAACTTTTTATGCGTTTTGGGGGCCTGAAAATGCAAACTTTTGAAACCGGGACTTTAAAGTGCACGTTTTTGAAACCGATACCGTTATTATCTCCATGTAAACTACAAAAGAATTTGTGAAAACAGTGACGACATGCACATGCGTATTACGTGTTCAGTCTAGAGGCGCGTAGTGTTTTTTTTTTACAAAGTGGCATCGCCAACTACTGGCCTGGCAGCATAATACAGCATTTTAGTCGTTTTTGTGGATCCGTGTAAACAGGGATCGTTTTGACAACGTTGTCATCTGTACACACACAAACACACATGTACACACACAAAAAGGAAAAAAAATATCCGTTTTAAAGGCACAATATGTAGTTTTTTTTCGCCACGAGAGGGCGCAGTTTCCAACAATAACAAAGGCGTAGGTTGATGACGCAGTGATGAGCTGAATGATGGGACTTGCTGTCAAGCTGATGGATCTAATAATGTTTATGGATGAGTGCAAACATTCATGTTTTTTAACATTACAGTGGTATGAAGCAGGTCACGATTGCTAAAGAGACAGATATCACACGCGAGTCCCGCGGATATAAAGGAATAAGGACATTTAATTCTACCGAACTACCCGCAAGTGCTGGATTACTCACACAGGTCAGTTTATTAGACGAATTAAACTTGTGAGGTAACGCAGCGCTGCTTCACTTAGTCTAACGTTACACTATCACACTAAACGGCATTTAAATGTGTGTTGAAAGTTATAATGTTATGCTACGCGTTAGTTCGTTTGCTATACGAAACTAGCAGTAAGCTAGATCAACATTAGAAAAACATACTGACCATATTCTAACATTTCATCATGTTGAACTAACGTTATATAACATTGATTTGTTTTATGTCCATTTGCTCACCTGTCTAATAAAGCTGTCAAGTCGTGACTCGTGAAGCTCTGTCAAGTCCAAGTTATTCGCGGACGTGGAGCTCTCGGCATCTCAAAAACGCCATGCTGATATTGATCCTCATTTTAGTTCTCCTTGTTTGTCCCAAAGTCTGCTTGCCATGGTCTATGTTTGAAAGAAACAAGAACTGCGTGCCGCTAAACGTTACGCACTACGCAGTTGTCCACGTCTGTCGCCATGGTTACGTCATGCTATGGCAGTATGAACGGAAACCGAGGATAGCGCGGATATTGCGTCATTGACATGCGACATTTTTTTCCGGGACGGCCACTTATTTAAAATTGGAATTTCATTGAAATAAAAAATCTTTGGAGACTTTTGGGATATTGTAAGTACACAACTGTAGGAAATATATCACACTGTGCAAGGGATTTTTGGATATTTTATTACAAAATTCTTACATATTGTACCTTTAATACATCGTTGTCGTGTAAACGTCCCCCGAGTCTACTGAATCCCTACTCCACATGAAATAAAGTGTCTGAGGCCAATAATGAAAATTATTCTAATTAACATTAGCTTAATAAAAACTTTTCATTACAAAATATAAGCATAACAACTTGAGTTACCAGGGCCTGAAATCTCTCTCTCTCTCTCTCTCTCTCTCTCTCTCTCTCTCTCTCTCTCTCTCTCTCTCTCTCTCTCTCTCTCTCTCTCTCTCTCTCTCTCTCTCTCAGTATGACAACTCATCAAATTTTGTTAAAATAAATCAATTCAATTAAAAACATAAAATCAAACTTCCTTGTGCTGTGTGTAGAGCGCAATGACAGCACCATCTAGCAACTAAGCTGTACACTTACAAATTGCTGTAAGCATCTTACTAACAATATAAATATGATTCGGCACATAATTTAAACATTTTCATGATGAAAAAGGAGTGTAATATAGGCTATTGTGTCACCGTGTGATAGTTTATTGGAATGTTTGTAAGGCACTCTTCTTTGTCACCCCCATTTTCCAAAATAAATTTCACCCAGGTGACAAGTACATTTGTTTTAGTATTTCAGAATGTCTTACTATTTGGGTTTTAAATTAGATTTGTAGTCAGAGATTTTCATTGTAGTCTTTTAAATCCCACCGTATATGACCTTTGTTTTGGGCTCTTTTTTCATGTCACACTCACATTGTCTTCCTGGTTGCAGTCACTGGGCTGTCCTCCGCTAGCACCACTGAGATTACTCTGAGAACGCCTGGACGGACAAGAAAGAGAGAGACATTGTGTTTGATGGATGGAATAAAGGTATCTTGAGTTGCTAACACATCATGCAGTCAGCGAAGAGCCCTTTACAAGGAGCAGATCAGTTTTTGCCCCCATCCATTCCATAATTTAGGTACCATTTTCTCGCATTTGATTTCTCGTACCCTAATGAGCAAAAATGAAAGAAATACATACATCACAGGTGTTCACAATACTTTAAATATGCTGAAAAAAGACCTGTTAGGTTATTGTATTACTACACGTTGTCAGCTCACTGAATAGAGAACCTAAGACACTATCTCTGAAATTCGTGTACGATTGTTGCATTTCGACTCTTTGTGGCAGTCTTTGCTCATGAAGCAGAAGTTATCCTCTGCTTAGTTAATGTATGAATATATCCACACAAAACAAATGACCGGCAATATGTTTGAAAGAAAAGCATAGTAGGTTTTCGAGACTTCCAGCCTGTAGTTTGTCAAAGATAGTGGGAAGGTGGATTAAGAAATGTATTTTGAATTCATTGTTAATAAAAATACATTTTAAACTACTATTTTTCAAATGCTCCATTTTCTCACAGACTGCCTCTGCCTCTCTCTAACCCAAGACTTAAATGAATGCCGCCTGTACCCGCTTAGACATTTAGTCTAGGCTCCCATGGGAATCCTGTGGGAGTGCAGACCTCTAGATCAGTGTCATCATCCTTTAGTCACGTGTTTAAAACCACCTGGCAAAACAACACTTATAGTGATAGTTCACCCAAACAATACAAATCCCTCATGATGTGGAAAAGCCTGTATGATTTTCTTTCTTTCTTTCATTTTTGGATTGAGTGGGATGAAGCTGACCTGTGTTGAGAGGGGTCCGTGGCAGTCACTGTTATAAAGGCAGGTGAGTCCTCCATGGCATCAAAAAACTCTGTATCCTCATCTTCATCACTCGCTTCCTCTTTCCTGGACCTTTCACCCACTCCTGCACAAGCAAATAAACACAGCTTAGTACCACTACAGCAGTCATCATGTTATCCACACAAGTCATGTCTCATAACTGAGCTCATTCCGTTCTGAATGATCACAGGCTCCAACGTCTCACCCGTGTCAGTGGTGGGCGTATCGGGCGTGTTGACGGCGTGCGTGGGGGCTTCTCTCCAGGCTCGTTCCAGGCTGTTGTGCTGCTTGGCTAGCTGCTCGATGGTCTCCTCCAGGTGGGTGCGTTGCTCTCGCTCATGCTGAAGTACTCGCTGCCATCTGCGGCTGTGGCTCTCTGCCAGGTCCAAGAAATCTCGGCAAGCCTGCACGGGAAGATATGAGACACGGGTTAAACATCGACACAAATACAGAAGATTTAGGAATAAAATAAGTGCAATGTAAACCAGAGGGGATTGATTCTGCTCCTAAAGATCTGCCTCCATGATCAACCTCGTTTTGACCCAAACATAGAGCTGAAACAGTAGAGCATTCCTCGGAAAAAGCATGAACCGGTATCATGACATTAACTTTTTTGCTCACCAGACACTGTGGCTAGAGGTTTTCCAAAGTTACTAGCCATTCAGCATTTTCACTGGCCAAAATTTTGACATCGATACCATAGGGAAAAACTGCCATATAGATATTTTTAATATTATCTCATAATTTGGCAACCAGTATATTAGGCTGCCATCCCTTTAAGACCTGTTTTATATAGCCAATATACTTGTCTTTGTGTGTGCGCACTTTAAGTGTGAGCACAAAATCTGCGGGAATGAGTGAAATCATGCTCAATATGCGCCATCCCTCGCGCGAAATTCAAGCCCTGTAACACCAACAATATTCATCCGGAGCAAATGAAACGAGTGAGTAAAGGGACGCGGGTTTGTGTGTCAACTCGCTGTCGGAGAGATTAGAGAGTGAGAACGCGCAGCTGATATTGTGTATCCTGCGGAAGGGTTTCAGATATTTCAGTATAGATATGTATTGAAAAATCTATATTTTTGACAACACTAGATATTTCAGATGCCCTTTTAAAAGACTGCAATTGAAACATTTATATTATGTAAAATTAAGCCCGCTGTGTCTGTGTTAAAAAGTGTCTGTGTTACACGCCACTGCTGAAATCCACCCGCATTTGGCAGGTGTTAATGTCAAAGATTTTATGCTATGATTTTATTTACATGCAGCCGCTGTACAAGCATGCATGCATGACCCCCGTAGAAGATCTATAAAGGTGGAGCTGGGGAAGGTGGAGGTTTTGTGAAAGTGCACTGCAAACTGCTACAGCAAACAATAGTTCAAAATTTGAATGTTGAGCAGCAAGTTCCTTGGCTACAAATACAGCAAGCAGATTGGGTTAAGGTCCTGCGCCATGTACAGTTTTATAACATAACTTTGTATAAGGGTCTATATTCCATTTTTTTGTTAGATTCCAGAGGTGTGGAGCAAATTCTGCCGCCACATCCTCATTGTCTTTGTTTTCCCTCACTTTCTCCATCACGATAATCCCGGTTCCTAAATTCTCCAGGGATCTTATCTGTCCTCCTGCTGCAGGCACCACACATGAATTCACCTGTTTCCTCATTACTGCTCTGGTCTCCCTCATAAAAATGATCCCCACAGGAAGAGATCATGGAAATACCTTCCTCTCTCCATCTTCCCCTTTCTCTGCATTTCTTCTATTTTTCTCTCCTGACTGACTTTTGTTTATTGTTCTTATTGAATTGTCTGTGAAATGTCTCACAACAAATGACGTGTCTTACAACATATAATGAATTATACGTGACAGAAATGTCAAAGAGTTTTTGAAATTGATCATGGGCTGAAAGCAGAAGTGAAAGAATTAATCTGATGGCCAGTGCACGTTCAGAAACACGCAAACATACAGACTGTCTATGGGCTGAGTCATGTTTTTTTTAAGTTGAGTCTGACTAGCAGTATTGAGCAATGTAGAAGTATGTAAGAGAGGTTACTCTTGGTCAATAGCATGCATGGTCACGTGATTGTACCCAGAGGAATATGTTATTTGTCAGAGGTTGCGCTTTCAAAGTTTAGCAGACAAGGCTTAAGCCTAGTCCCAGACTAAAATGCATGTTTGAGGCAATCCATCCATGCTTTACAGAAATAAACGGCAAAAAACGGTCAATGTTGCAAAATTCTTAAACATTTAAGTATAATTATATCTGTAAAGCTCTGAAGAAGACAATATAGTGTAATTATCCGTCTCAATTAAATGATTTTGTTCCGATAGTTTCATATAAGCACTGAAACAACCTAGCAACTTTTCCCCCTACAAATATTAAGAAGAATAACCCTCATCACACATAGGTTTCACTAAAAATACCTCTTGTAACCAAACTCAGTATCTGCGAGAGCATCTCTCTCATCACAGCTCATCAATCATGTTAATAACTGAGACTACAGTACAGCCACAAAATCATCAAGGCAGCTCGCGGTCACAACCAATCACGTCTTTAACAGTGCCACTGCCTCTGAGTGTCAGTGCAATCTCTCGACTGTACTCTCTTCTTCTCACTGTTTCTTTGTTCATCTCCCTTGTCTCCTGTGGAGGCACAATGACATGACTAAACTGACTGACCCTAGTGTGCTGGATCAGAAACCACAGACACATAAGTGACTCGGTTTATAACAAAATAGGCACAGAATCAATGTCCAAAATTCACCTTTTGCCACACCTGCATTGCCAGGTAAATCGAGAAAGTTATAAGATCCTGTAGAGCTTGGGACAAGTAATGCAAAAGTCATGGGTTCAATTAACAAAAAATGAAAATACATATAGCTTTATACGGTTTAAGTTGCTTCGGATAGAAGTCTGAATCTCTCTATATATTTAAATACTTCATTTATAAATGATTACATAATAAAATTCATATTTAAATGCTAAATATTTTAACTGACCATGAAAATGTATTTTGCATTATGTGTTTTTTTTTATAAAAAAATCTATTTGGTCCTTTCAATGGGATAACTGTTTTTTCCCCTTGTCACTCACAGCAGATGAACCATTCTCCATTTCCATGCACTTCATAAAAACACAAAGAAAAAGACATTGGGATTTTAGATTTAGCTTAGATTTCACATTTTTATTTTGGTGGCATAAATTTGAATAATATTATATGTTGCCACATGGATTTATGTTTTTTTTTAGATAGATAGATAGATAGATAGATAGATAGATAGATAGATAGATAGATAGATAGATAGATAGATAGATAGATAGATAGATAGATAGATAGATAGATAGATAGATAGATAGATAGATAGATAGATAGATAGATAGATAGATAGATAGATAGATAGATAGATAGTAAAAAGTTGCTAGATGCACAACATATGTTTTTTTAATAGACTTCTATTTGTATCTTTGTTCGCATTTTTGCAAACATCTATAATCGCTCAAATCATTTATATCAGCGAAGGTCAGAAAACCATTCTTACATTTCGACTTAAACTAGTCCGTAATAAAGTTTCCAGCCAACTCAAAAGTTTAATTCACTTAACAAGCCAATTTGGCGCTTTGCAAGTGCTAATTTTGGATGCTGTACAGAACATAGTTAAAGTACTTTTGCACTCTTGGCCACACACTCTGCCCCAGCACTTACCTGACTCCTGTCAGCACTGAGCGTCCAGAGCTCTGCTGCGATAGAGGATCCTCTGTGCTACACTCAGCATGTGACAGGCTTCCTAACACGTTCATGAAACTACAGCTCCTCACCTTTAACATAAGCAACACTTCCACTTTTTTTTTGCTGAGTGAGGCCCTGGGCCCCAGACTGCTCGTGACTTCAGGAAGAGTTTAGAGGAAAGAGACGTATGTGTGTGTCGTACATCCTCATATCCAAGAAATGCCCTTAAAAATAGTTGAGGGGGAGGGAGAACCATGTGATTCAGTGTGTGAAATTGATAGATGATTCATTGAATTTAGAGAAATACCCAGTGAGATTCTCAATAATATTTCAACAGAATCTTTCAACTCTAGATAGATTTTCAGAATGCCACTTGGTGTGATATTGCAAAGAGTTTCTGAGATTTTTTAAATGTGATTTAAGTGTCCAATTAGTTTTTAGGGCCACTGCACCAACAGATTCACACAGCTGCTTTCTCTCAGTTTCAGTAGGGGTGAATACAAGTTAAGCGAGACAAGGTTTTTATATGTAAATGTCTTTCATTAAGAAGGTCTATCATAATAATAATAATAATTATTATTAATCATATTTTAATAACGAGAACAAACGATCAGAAAGTGTCCCATTTTTCCTGTATTCACCCTAATCACTTTAGCACACTTTTTTTTACTGTATTTTTTATCAAATAAATGCAGCCTTGTTGAGCATAAATTCAAAAACATGAAAAATCTTACCAACCCCAAATTTTTGAGGAGTAGTGTATAACCTGTGATGTTCAAAGAGTGTCATTCAAAGAGTGACAAAAAGAGAAAAGACCCTTTTTTCTCTCTCCTTGTTTCAAATAGATGTAATATACGTGTATTATTAAAAATAAGATCATCTGTTTATCCTTCACACCTCACACACACACACACCGAAAATAATGGTTTCCCTCTGCCTCTCATTAAAAGTACTGTGCCTCGGCCTGTCCAAGTGCTTTAATGAGCTGGATCCACAATGCTGTTCAGCACTTTTCATTATGCATGTGTAGTTCTGTTCAGCTGGCTATTAATCATTTCAAAGATGAACAAAAGAAGAGTCTTCACAGCTGATTACACAGAGATCTCACTAATGAATGTGTTATAGCATGTTTGTCTGTTGCATCACCTCAAACCCTCAGGTCTTGACTGCTGTCTGCAGGGCTAATGGTTGATACTAAAACCAAGAAGTGAGGAAATGGAACTATTAGATTCTTATAATGGTTCTTACAAAACAATGCATCAAGAATTGTATAGAATCATAATTGAACACAAATCTAAAGACTGTTAAATTGGTGTACCTGTTCAGATAATTTGCTCTATATCAGTTTTCCGACGGTGTAGCTACTTCTTACCTATGGCTTTTGTGAAGCAAACTAATGAGCATGGAAATGACCAAACTCACTTTTTCAGAAAATGCTGACACAAAAGTCTGGCTGTGAAGACTAAAGTGGTATACCAACAATCACGATTATGAATTATTTGTTCAAAATCCTTTTGCGGAACCCACAGAATCAACATAAATAGCATGAAATTTCATTCACCTACACTACCTTTTCTAAAGTTTGGGGTCAGTAAGATTTATAAATAATATTTGTATTCAGCAAGGATGAATTAAATCGATCAAAAGTGACTGTAAAGACATTTATAATGTTAAAAAAAGATTTATTTCAAATAAATTCTGTTATCTTTATCTTTCTAGTTAAAAAAATTGTTTCTAATTTTTTTTGTCAGTTTTCACAAAAATATTAAGCAGCACAACCGTTTTCAAAATCAATCAGCATATTATAATGATTTCTGAAGGATCATGTGACACTACAGTAATGTCTGCTGAAAATTCAGCTTTGCCATTACAGGAATAAATTACATTTTAAAATACATTTAATATATTTATAATATATTAATTATAAAATATATGATATAAAATATATTTTAAATTCTAATAATATTTCACAATATTACTGTTTTTACTGTATTACTGATCAAATAAATGTAGCCATGGTGAGCATAAGAGACTTTTTCAAGTGTAAGCTTGGCACAGACTGGTGAGTTCAGTAAAGTTCATCAAAGTTGAAATGGGAACACACAAGACGAAATAACCTTCAATATTGATTTCCATAACTGAGAGTAGTGATACCAATCCAAAATTTGATTTAGGAAATCAAAGACACAAAGGACATCCATAAAAGTGAGAGCTATTCCTAGACTTGTATTGATCACAGCAGTGGAAGCCAGTTCTACCTTCATTGATTACACAAAAAAGAAAGAAAAACAATCTTCGATCCAGGTTTTTGCAACTACGTTTGACTTTAGAGCCACATTGAATATGAAATTTGAGCACAGATTAGGATTTTCTCTGGAAAGGATTCAAAGTAAAACTGCTGTTCTGGGGCTGGTTTCACACACACACATGGGTCTGTATGATGAAGTATGTTAGGGTAAGAGAGCTAATACTGGATTAGGTTTCAATTTGTCCATTTTGATAAATGAACCACAATCTTTCTTCCCACTCTTTCTGAACATTGCTCAATCATACTGACCATGGCAATAGGGACTGAGGAAAACACTGTCCCGATGATTGAACACACTTTTTTTTTTACTTTTTTTATCAATTTAATGTGTTATTTCTGGCCCCAAACCTTTGAACAGTTGAATTAAGATTAATTTTAAACAGAAATGAACAAAATAGCAGTAATTAAAACCTGACCCAACTGATATTCTGTGGTGGTAACAGAAAGTTAGTTCTGTACTTACATTGATCATAGCATTGGAGGTGATGCGAAAGAGGGTGGCTCTCTCATTGACAGCCTTGATTTTCTCTCCTCCCTCCAGAGGCACACGCAAGGTCTCGAGCTCACTCAAAGAACGCTGCAGTGCCGCTCCGTGCTTGGCTATCAGGTCATTGCATGTGCTCAAGTCATCCAACTTACTGGCCAGAGTCTTGAGAGTGCCCTGGATCTCACTGTGGTCTGACTGAGACGTGGGTTCCTCGTCCGCCGAGTCATCTACACAGACAGAAACACACACAGAGAGAGAGAGTCAGAATAGAAGTAATTTTCATTATTTCCTTACACTAAACCTTTTAAAAACAGAAACAAATCCCCAGAGCACAATGTGTTTTCCAGCTGTTCTCATTAATGAGTCGAGGGCACAGCTCCTCCTAATTTCCCTCATTAATTAATGCTGATTTTACAGGTGGCTGAGGCCCCGATGGTCGATATTACCATAGTCACATATGCAAACAAAGCACTGCCATACTAAATCAAAACACACACACACACTAGATGGTGGACAGATAGTGACTACACAAAAATATATTACCTTTTAAGAAACCTGAAATTTTCAGATACAAACATGTTTTGTAATCAAGTCAAACTAGAGAACAGAAGTTCTGAACTGGCAAAACTCATCTGTGGATAAGTTGTAGGGTTAGGACTGTAGCACAAACACACAACTTTAATTTAAAGTCTTATAAGTAATGCTTCACACAAAAAATAAACAAGTACTTTTGACAAATAAAGTGCTCTGAAAAGTACAGCTCATGAAAAGATTAGTCTGTTTTCAACATACAGTGTGTGGGAATATTGATACTGAATTTGTATCTGCACAGAACTGATTGGTTATATAAATGAAACAAATAACAATGAATTCAACTTTAAAATCTTTTTTTTTTCTCAAAAAAAATCTTTAGCTTTCCTAAAAACCCTAAACAAGTTCAAGATATTTCCATGTTTTAATCTACATACAACACATCAGTAATAGCCCACTCGTGACTTTTTAAGCTTTTATATGTTTTAAAGGAGAACTCCGGCGCAAAATGAACCTTTGGTCTAATTACACATTGTTACCTAGTCAACCGTTATCTGAGATTCGTTTTCATGATTATCGAATGTAAATAGTTTTATCTCTAAAAACAGTTTAGCCTATAATGCTAGTATAACGCTAGTATATAGGGCATAGAGTAATGACAAATAAAAATCGCTTGTTAATACCACTAACAAGGCTCAAAATAGCCCCACACTAGCACGGTAGCATAATGAGGGTCCCTACCTTCAAACCGAAGCATTGAGAACTTTGCCAGTGTCCAGACAGTTTAATAAGAAGATATTTTATACATACAGTCAACTTCGCGTGTACAGGCAGAAGCCATCTTTGAAAAACAGTCTCTACCAGTCGATCTACGAACGCCGAAGGTAGGGACCCTCATTATGCTACCGTGTTAATGTGGGGCTATTTTGAGCCTTGTTAGTGGTATTAACAAGCGATTTTTATTTGTCATTACTCTATGCCCTATATACTAGCGTTATACTAGCGTTATAGGTTAAACTGTTTTTAGAGATAAAACTATTTACATTCGATAATCATGAAAACAAATCATAGATAACGGTTGACTAGGTAACAATGTGTAATTAGACCAAAGGTTCATTTTGCGCCGGAGTTCTCCTTTAAGGCAGTGGTTGACAAGTGTCTAAATGGAACTACAGAGGTTATCAGGGACATTAAACGGCATCACGCAGAACAACTGAACTCATCTGCACACTAGTTCACTTTTACGGCTTTGTTGTATTTACACTTGTTCTCTGGCAAAATCTTAACTCAAACAGTCCAACTTGTCGATTTTGAATAAAGATTGATAGAGTCGTTGGAAGCTTAGCAGCGGTGACGTTGAAGTTGGGTCGAGGGGGTAGTTTGTTTATAGCCTTAATTTAGCTTGTTACTCTTGGTGGTTGTATTTAGGCTTCAAAATTCATAGGTTGTGTTAATTTGTGAAGATAAACCAAATGCGTAAGAATCACAAACGCTTGTTGGAGTAGTAGAGGGTTTCCCCCCCAAAAATATTTCAATTGAATTGAGATCCGGACATTGACTTGGCTCTTTCAAGACCATCCATTTCCTTCTTCCAAGTCATTCCTTTGTGTACCGAAAACTTTTGCTTTTATCTGATCCTGACCTGCATCTATTTCCATAGGTAGAGTCTAAGACCACCATATTGGTTATGTATTTAAGTAGAAAAATAAGCAATGCTAACATAAAATGACTTAGTGTGCCTGATATAGGCTATAAACATTTGCTAGTGGAAAGGACGTGCTAAAAATAAATGATAAATAGTTTGGATTCCCAAGTGTTCACTCTGCATGATTTCACAGCTGCCATAATTAGGTTCATTGGCATGTGTGGACACACTCCCACACACACATTTTCACACACACAATGGCTCCCTTCCAGTGACAGAAGTCACATAAATCTGGAGAAATCGCATCAGAGCAGAGTTGCAGATGCTGAGCTGAGGTTATGACAGAATCATGCAACACGGACGCAATAAGGCAGCTACTCAGAGTCACATTTATTACGTCATACAAATAACAAGATGAATTTAGAAAATGCATGTTTATAAGATAAAGACGCTGCAGCTAATCTCTGACACAAGAAAGAACGTTTGGGGAGAAAAGACGTGGCATAGTGCGTGTGAGAGACGAGGACATGGCAACCTCGTTCAGAGCAGCGGAGCAGGGCAAGGGTGAGATTGATTTGACTGTGTTTGTTCCTCCTCAGCAGAGAGCAGAGCAGCCGTCAGCAAACTGTTCAAAGACTGAACACATTAACCTTCTCATGACTCAACAATAACATACGTAGATAGAAAACATCGTGTGTGGAGGCAAAGGGGTCACTTTAGGGCACTGTAGAAAGAAGTTTAGTTATGTTAACTAAACGAGTGTCTTCTATGACCTAATTCCAGGTTTAAACAGTAATTATTATGCATTAAAAAGGTCTCTCCTGCTTCTCTGTTCATTGTTGTGCTGGGTGCCAGATTAACCACTGAGACAGTTCAATTGAATAGTCCATTTCAAGAGCTTCTTCTTTTCTCTCTTTCCATTAGCCGTAACAGACACACATGCGCACACACACTGGCTGATCCTGCGCATACGTGCGTATGTGTGAGCCGTGTGTCGTGTGACTGCTGACAGAGGAATCTGTGGGAATGTTTCAAACAGCATATTACCATACCAAGTACTTTTTGTGCAGTATGTAGTCCTATATTGTGCACAATATGCTAATTTGGTTGTGTGCGCATGGAACACCAGAATACTGTACATATGACAAAATGTGCAGAGCACACTGTAATTGTGTCCCACAATGCAACTTGGACAATGGACTTCAAATGAATTAATAACTGATTTGTATTGTTCATATAAATATATATTACAATTATAAAATATGTTTACTTTTCATTTTTAATTGTTTAAATTTTTTTTAAAATAAAATGCAGTATAAAATGGCATGCTGAAACATATTTTTATATTTTACATTTATTCATTTAGCAGACGCTTTTATCCAAAGCGACTTACAAATGAGAACAATAGAAGCAGTTAAACTAACAATAGGACAACAATATGCAAGTGCTATGACCCTTCCCAGTTTAACCTAATCTTTTTTTTTTAAGATAATAGATTAGAATAGAAGATAAAGTGTTAGTATTAATGAATCATGTGTTGCCGAAAAAGATGCGTCTTCAGCCGTTTCTTGAAAATGGCCACGGACTCAGCAGCTCTGGTTGAGTTGGGCAGGTCATTCCACCAGCATGGAACCATAGACAGTATAAGAAGTGGACAGAGCCATCTCATTGGAACTCAGTTGAGACAGTTGAAGCCCATTTTTAGCGATTTTTGAGCACTTCCGTTCCTGACGCACAGACTCAAACCGACTCAAACTAAGCTTGATGACGTGAGCAACCTGTCTGACAGACGTCAATCTTCTAGTAGCTGTGCGTGAAAACTGCCAACGTTAATCTTGCAGAGACGGGGAACTTGAGCAAAGAGTTCTTTGGCGTGAGTGAGCAGGAGTAAGTATTCCGTTGCTTTTATGGACTCATTATCTATGGGCTTCTCCCTTGACGGGACCTCCCCCCAAATGCCTGCGAGCTTCTCCTCCTGTCTGTATGGTAATTTCTGTACAGCGCGACAGAGAGTCGAGTGGTTATGATGCAATCGTTAGCCTATTTTTACAAAATCTGTTTCTACGGGGCCATAATGTAACATAGAAGGTAATGGAGCCCTTTATACATTGTCGTGTTTCTTTAGAAATAAATAATGGACAAATGGAGTCTTTAAACGCCTCAGATGTAAAGTTATTCGCTGTCAAAGTGACGCCAAAATGAATGGGAGTCAATGGAAATGCTAACGCAAGTGAAGTTCTGCTACAAGATGGCGGCACCCGGCCGGCTTCAACTTGCGGTCGAAGGATTACCCCCTTGCATGGAACAGACCAGAAAAAGGCCAGAGAAAGAGATTTAGTGCCGCTATGAGATGGCACCACAAGACAGCGTTCACTTGCAGAGTGCAAGTTTCTGGATGGCACGTAAGTCTGAAGTAATGAGTTTAGGTAAAAGGGAGCAGAGCCAGTGGTTGTTCTGTAGGCAAAAGTCAGTGACTTGAATTTGATGCGAGCGGCAACTGGCAACCAAATATATATAAACTATGTAAAATGTTTTAAATGTGTACAAAAGCAAATTGCCATTTTACCTTACATTATATATACTGTATAACTCCAAATAATAAATAACCATATGGTGAATGGACTGCATTTATATAGCACTTTCACAGACCCAATGGCCACCAAAGCGCTTTACATTTTGCCTCACATTCACCCATTCATACACCGACGGCGGTGTCAGCCATGCAAGGCGCCATCCAGCTCGTCGGGAGCAGCTGGGGTTAGGTGTCTTGCTCATGGACACATCGACACTTGGTCAGGTGGAACCGGGGATTGAACCACCAACCTTCCGGTTTGTAGACAACCTACATGAACCACTGAGCCACTGCCGCCCCAAACCATATATACAAAAGAATACAGAGTATGCAGTATAAAAGTATTTAATCTCTTTCCTTTACTCTGTGAGGTTTAATCCTGAGCGCACACACATACAGTACAGCCAGAAAACACACACACAGCTTTACATTAAGAGCGGTTTTCACCCTGTCACCCTTTAGCTTTAGAAGAGCTGCTG